GAAGGAAAATCACAATCATACAATGCAACGCTACACACCTACAAATAATGCAGAGCAAGAGAACAAGGAGGAATTTTACAGACAACTGAAACCAGCACTCAACAAGACCTCACCTCACCCCTGATGCCGACATCAAAATTCTAATGGGCAACATGAATGACAAACTGGGGGAGGACAACACAGGAACAAAACAAACCATGGGTAGAGAAGCACTCGGTGAGGTGATGAACGAGAATTGAGAATTGTTTGCAGAATTCTGTGCACTCAACAATTTGATGATTGGAGTGAGGCACTGTGTTCAAGCACAAGGATATCCACAAGTCAGCGACACGGATTCAATCTCACCAGACACCAGCGCACACTAAAAATCACATCGAATTCATCTCAATGTGAAGAAAGTGAAGACGCAGCCTACTTGACACAAGGTCAAGGAAGAGGAGCAGATGTAGGCTCAAACCACTCACTGTCTAGTGCAAGCAACCCACCTTCCAAATCAAGTCAAAAGCCTTCAAGGAAGTTGGTGATAGACCACAGTTCAAGTTCAATATCCAGAACAGAAACTCAAGGATGAAACTACATAGCAAATCTTCACGTCGGTAAGCCATCAAGACAAAATGGCAGATATCGAGCAACATCTCTGAAGAAACCTGTGTGGATGAGCACTGGAACTCTTTGAAAGCTATGTGGAAAGAAACCTGCATAACCATGTTAGGAAGGAAGAAGTAAGAAGATAAGGAATGGATCTCGACGGACACATGGAAGCTGATAGAGCAGGGAGAAGAGGATGGTGAAGCAGAAGATAAAACCAGTGCAGTGCAGTGCACTGCTGAGATGAACAACGAAAAGAGAAACTGAACACAACCTACAAAACACTACACTCGACAAAGAAGTGAAGAAGAGTGTGCGAAAAGAGAAAAGACACTTCTACGACACACTTGCAATTGAAGCAGAACAGGCTGCAGATAGGAGAGACAGAGATCTGACAACATTATATCAAATAAGCAGGTTACTATCTGGGAAGGGGGAAGAGATCAACACAGATGAGACGAACAAAAGATAGTGGAGGAAACTGAGCAAAGTGGAGAAACAAAGGGAACGATGGGCTGACCACCTCAAAAAACTAAAGAATCGACCACCAACACCACCACCTGCAACTCGTCAAGAAATACTACCAGCAGCCACAGAAATACCAGTGAACACAAGCCCTTCGGCAGAAGCAGAAGTCCTGAAAGCCATAAAGCTGCAGAAATCCGGGAAGACAGCAGGACCAAATGGAATTTCGCCAGAAGCACTGAGAGCAGACGCAGAGATAACAGCGGATACGCTGACACTACTATTGCAGAAGGTTTGCAAGGAAGGAAGGAGGGAAGGAAAGGTATCTTCTGATTAATTAGAAGAAGGGTTACCTTGTCAAACTCGCGAAGAAGGGAGACCTAAGTCTTTGGAAGAACAAGAACTGGCGCAGAATCATGCTCCATTCCTGTCCACCCCATGCAAAATATCAAGCCGCATCATCCTGGAGAAACTGAAAAATGCTCCACATTTGAAATTACGACCGGAACAGACTGGCTGGCTGGATTCAGGAAGAATAAATCATGTGCTGATCAAACTGCAAGGCTACGCTACGCATCATCATTGATCCTACTTACCTGGGAAGTAGGATCAACCCTGGTGGGTTAGTTGCCGATGAGATTTCTGCACGGATACAAAAGGCTCGATTGGCTTTTGCCAATTTGCGCCACCTATGGCGCCGCCGTGATATTCGCTTGTCTATTAAGGGTCGCGTGTACTGCATAGCAGTCCGCTATGTTCTACTATACGGCTGTGAAACATGGCCATTGAAAGTGGAAGATACAAAAAGGCTTCAGGTGTTTGACCACCGTTGCCTTCGTAATATAGGACGTACTCCGTGGTGTCACCATGTGAGTAATGCACAAGTTAGGTGTAGAGTTTTGGGGAGAAGAGGTAAGTCAGTTGACGAGGTTGTGAACCTTCATCAACTGAGATGGTTGGGACACGTACTACGTATGCCTAGTCACCGATTGCCTCGTCACACAATGTTGGCTGAGGTGGGTTCAGGCTGGAAAAAGGCCCGAGGTGGCCAGACTAAAACATGGCACCAATGTATGAAGTCTCTGACTGTTGGTTTAGGCCATGTAGGACGATGCAGACTAGGTGGTTGGGGTCCACGGGACAAGAGGAACCAGTGGTTGGAGACCCTAGGTGATATGGCTCAGAACCGAAGTCAATGGCGCAGATGTATACACACATTATCCTCATCTTAACAACGCTATACCGAATCTCACTATTTTGTCACTCCTCTTTCCTTTCTTCTCGTACTTTATATTTCTTTTGACTGCATTCACTTATCTTCATTCTTCGCCTCACTACCTTTTTACTTGATGTGCTGATATGAGGTGTGGCAACTCGGACCGTTACGCAGTAATGCCTGGTCCTATGTTGATAATGATGATGATGATGAGTCTTAACTTCATCCACTTTGAAAAGGCCTTCGGTCTAGGCGTCAACCGAGAAGTAGTTTGGCAGGTAGCTGCTTCAACACTACGGTTTTAGTGCAACAAATCCTTATCAACCTCATTCAATAGCTATACGCTATGTGGTGCCACATACCGAGTAATTCACAATGGAAAGCTCAGTGACGCCTTTGAAGTGAAAACAGGAGCAAGACAAGGTTGCCGCCTACTACCATCGATGATCTTCTTGATTGTGGTCGACTGGATCATGCAACAAACCGTGAGGAGCGAGAAGATGTGCATACGCTAACTAGACCGATGAAAAGGTCCTAGAAGATTTGGATTTAGCCTCCACTGATGATTTATGTCTAATGTCTTGTCGCACAAACTCGAAGATCTACAGGCAAAAACCAACAAGTTAACATTAGAGGCAGCGAAAATGGGACTTCAAGTGAATGTAGAGAAGATAGAGGTGATGAAGATACTCAACCAACAACAGCAGCAACAAGCACCAATCTTCATTAATGGGAGAAATCTAAAGGAAGTTTTCTATTTCACCTATATATGTATGTCTATCAGTTGAATTAAATCTCCACTTAAGAAAGAAAAAGATGTGAATAACGCAGTATCCTTGATGTTCAATTTAAGAAAGATTACTATTCACTAGGCAGTCAATTGATTTTTCCTTACCTACGTATATAATCCAGTTCTACACAGTATCACATTATAGGGTCAACAGCATCTTCCTAAAAGACTATATGATATGATATCGAAGTATGCTTTAAAAAGATGATTCTTCCTGAAAATGTTAGTCAATTAACTATAAGGTCAATGCAAAGGGTTATGTTGAAAGTCAGGAATGATGATAGCGTATACTGTTTACAGTACTTTAAGCAGTAAAGCTTGAGAGTTGTCAGACTTATCACACATTCATCAAAAATAGTTGTCCCGGGAAAACAAAACAATTTATAAGCATCTAGTGAGGTACTATTGCAAATTCGATTGATTTTGTCAAAGGCTGGAAAATGATAAATATGAATGAACAGAATTTTGTATAAGGTAAACAATCTATTCACTTTAGTTATTTATTATCAGTATTACATTGAAGAAGTTTCCAATAAATCGAAAACCAGATAAACTCAGTCGATGACTTAGCATAAGCGCATGAAAGCTGTCATACATCTCAAACAGCCATAGCAACAAATACAAAACAATTAGCGATATATACTTTAGTGTTGTAGATTATGGACTAAGTCCATGATTCAAAAGCATTTGGGCAGTCAAACCTTAGTAGGTGATGTGAATTTCGATTTCGTAACTAACTTATCAAAAATATATGACGTTTGAAGTAGCTTAAAACCGCTTTAAAGAGTAAGCTAGTGCAGCATAGATAGAGATATGTGGAAAGGTAGTCCTTATGTTGTGAATGTGTCCCAGTAACAGCCTTAAAGACCGTAAGTTGATGATTTTTAATGTCTCAGAGACTTGAGTATAGCTGTCTATACGTTTTATCCTATAACATGAGCAAACAAAAAAGGATAGCATAATTCGACACTATTTCCTGCTCATACTTTTTATATCAATTTTTAACTTTCATAATTAGACCGATTTACGTGTGTGTATATACAACGTTATCCGACGAACCAATTCGATAGTCTGTCACCTCTAACCATGATCTTATCCCTTTTGATGCGACTATTCAATCAAACGCAACCAGTTTTACAAATCGATATACAATAAACCTATAGTGAATTTATATCCATTTTTAATGAACAGCTATCTAATATACATCGATTTTTGTTAATAGAAAATGAGTTGAGAAATATCGCTAAAAAATTACTGCACATTACTGGGAATATTCAGTGAATTCTGAGTGTTTGCAATAATGTTGGCAAAATCGACTAAATTATCTAAAAACCGAACGTATCCGTTTGAAGTTCATCAGACAGAATATTTAGGCTTATAAAAGTGAAGATTAATAAACCATGTTTATTTTTTCTACTCTGTCATAGATTTATCCTGTATTACATAATTATATTTAATTTTATAATTCCTTGTCTATTTTCCAACTCTAAACCCAAATATGTATTTACTAACTTCCCTTAGTTATTCAATATATTTTTCCCCCTAATCGGAAATAATTCTGTAACGTTCTGTTCATTGTAACATATATTCACGAATGTACAGCTTAGTAAATGACTTCATCGGAAAGAAAACTTTTCTTCACTGCAACCATGTCTTGTTTTTTTCGTATAAACAAGATAACTAATTTAGATGTCCTCTTAGTTAATTCGATTTCATAGTCTTATCCGCAGACCTAGTATGATTTAACTCCAAAAGACTAGAACATTTAGTAAGAAAAGAATTAAGTAGTTTCATAGTCAATAAAAAAAGATAATGAAATACTCAGAATGTTTAATGATTTTCGAAGTGATTAAAAGAAATAGAAAATCTTATGAATGATAAAAATATATTTATCTACATAAATTTTAATTAACATATAAAGATAACTATTGTGAAACTAACTTCATTATCTAACAATGGAGGAAGTGAACCACGACCACCAGCAATACTAAAACCAAGACCATTTGAATCCCGAATCAATGTACAATGAATGTGCTGTACATGAAAAAAAAAGAAACACATGAAAAATAATATACTCTATTTATATATGTGATTTGTAGATGTGCATTACGCCTAAGAGGGTAATGTGTAGTAGTGAAAAAATGAATTCGAAACAATTCGATGTGTAACTCCATAGCTTATTGCAACACCAAAAAACATGTCCAAAGAATCTAACGACTTTAATCCAACTTTCTAAACATCCCTAAAAATATACAATACAAAATTCTTATTAAACATCTGACGACTGTATGCCAAAATGGTAGTAACACTGGATTGGAACAACACTTTCAGTGACTCAAATAATAGGGCTTAGAGAGGTTGAATTCAGCTATGTAGGAATTGTAACCTTCTTGGATAGGGTTTATGTGATTATTGAAGTTCGAAATTACAAACTTTAGTCGATAGAGGCTCAAAAGCAACAGTAGTTGTGCTTTGAATATATAATTTACACATCTAATGTACCTTATTCTTGGAAAGTTCCATGTTTTTGCGTATCATAGAAACAAGAGTTTTTTTTTTTTGCTGACATCAATGCATAAACAATTATACTTAGTTAGTCATAGTGTTTGTTTGTCTGCCTTAACGATCAAATGATCAATTTCAAAATTCTGCTTTTACTTTCAGTCACTAATAAAAGAACAATCACGGGAAATCCCAGATTACTCAATAGCTGCTTACTTATGTCCTATAACTCCCAATCATCATCATGCAACTCAGTGGCTTGATACGTTATCATATATAGCTCAGAATCGAAACCAGTGGCAGTCATGTAGTAGCTTCCTTCTATCTTCTGCTGCTTAAAAGTAGTGAATGATTTGTTTTGAATACATCTTACTGGACTGCTCTCCTAATCATTCTATTTTTATTGTATTTTATTTCTATCCACCTCCCTTCGCTTTATGTCTTCGTAATGTTGTTATATTATTTTGTGTGGCAGATTTCTTGGTGCCCTTGCTGTACCATGTTAGTGTTTTCACAATAATAATAATAATAATAATAATAATAATAATAATAATAATAATAAAGTGACTGATTCAAAGAATGTCACGGGTCCAAAGTTTGAATCAATGTCTGTCAGTACATGGTCTGGGGGGTCATAAGTGCTACTAACATAGAACAGCCTGTCTCGTTGTTTCCAAAAATATTATTGTCATACTACTTATATAACAGTTAACGAACATTCACTTACTTCAGGTACGCTTTTTATATTATTTCCCATGAGCTGCAGAATGAAGAACACAAAGAAATAATAACACTATTACTCGAAATGCCAATACTAATACAAAAATTGCGTTTTATATGTGGGGTTAATTAAACGTTAACTAATACGCAACACCTAAGGCTACTTGCAGCGCCCTGATCTGTGTTGCTGATTTAATGTTGCAAGTATATTTTGGATGGAAGATATTATCATTATTGTTACTGTCCGGAATTTTCGCAGCATCACTTCCGTCTCTACAAATTTCTAGGAACAGCTGCAGATGAGCGGTAATTTATGCGATATCACGAACATAACTACAACGCTTCACATTCCGAATATACAGACAACCTTAACTATAAAATAAATGCAAACACAATTTTAACAAACACCAGCTGCAGACAGCTTATTCATGTGAATTAAACCATTGATCTAAGAGAAAATAGAAATCAGGGTTAATATATCGGCTTTAACACGCAATCTTTCTCGGCTAACTGGGTCATCATAGGTTGAGGTTACACCTAAGTATCAGATGATTTACATTAGAGTGCGTTCTAGGAGCCACTTATAACCGACAATAACAATAATATTGATTAATTTATTGAAAGTTACTAGTCAGTAGTCGGTGTGTCATATGACTTGCAGTCCCAAGCCTAACAGTTAATATAGCTTATTCTGTTTTTCTTACATTAGCGTGCTTGACGGTGTAGGAAAGATGCAGTGGTGCTACTACTCATCCTTTACAAAACGAAGAACAGTGACAATTTTTATTTTGTTCATCAGTATAGATTCTGAGAACTTATTGTAAAAAACAGTGCATATTGAAATACACCAGAGAAGCCAACTGTACCCGTATTGTTACTTTATCAGAAACTAGGATTACACAAATCGTAAAGAGGCAAAGTGACCAAAGTAACCAAATATTTTGGTCCATATATTTTAATTACCAGTTGATGAGTACGAAGAGCTAAGATAAGCATCCATCGCATGAAAATTGCGAAGTTTCTATAAAGTATTCTCAGTTTTTAATTTGTAACTTCAATCACTATCTCAGCATATGAACACAATCCACCAACTAGAAACTACCATGAGCACACTACTTACTGTACACGTAAATCATGAAAACCGTTCAATGTCACTAGTGAACACTTTAAATATGTGTGAATGAAGAAATTTCATTCATGAAATTCTGTTGAAGGGAAAATTAATTTCTAACAGAACTACACTCACATTATTCATAAAAAAAGCAGGCAAACGAAAAGAGGAAAGAGACAGAAAACAAACCTATGAGAAATTTAATTATAGCAACAGTAACTTATCTTGTTTTGAAGAACAGCAGAAACTACTCATTGTCACACAGAACAGGATCATTTTTCTAATGACCCTTTCTGAAAGTACACTTCATCATATTTCTGAAGAAAAATAGAGAAATACTTTGTGGTACATCCATAGGTACCCTTGCTTTTTTTTAGCCCTTGGATCTTGGTCGTTGGATTTTAACTCAGCAACCATATACAGGCTTGTGAACTGGGTTATGAACTCATTTTTGTGCGAACAGCAATACTACCTGAATGAGCAAACTTCAATATATGGAGCCAGTTTTGGATCTATGCATCACCAGTTAATAATTGAGTGCCTGAACCGATGAACCCGATTTTCGAAAATGTCAGTATGCCTAGACAACTTCAAGTTTACTGAACTCAGTTCCTTAACTGTATTTATAGTTAAACAAAGTGGAATATCCGAAACGAAGCGAATAGCTAAAGTTTCACACTTGTTATCATTTATCACAAGAAAAAAGAATTGGTATTTGAATGAAAAAGTTAAGCGAAGTCGTTTAATAACTGAGTGACCAGAAATTCTAAAAACTGCATATCATATGTTATTGATAATAGTTATTCAGAATCGAATCATTAAATATATCTAGGCTTGAGATTCGATAACTCCTTAAATGTTCCTGTGGAGCACTTTAAGTGATACTGAATACGCTATACTGAATAGAGAAGATAAACATGTTACACTGTTTTACGATTATTGCTAGTTAATCAATGTCTTAGGACAAAAAGTGAGTCTATTTCAAGTCTAGATATTGACCGGAAGTTAATTAATTGAAACGATATCTATCGAAATCATACATTATGAACAAAATCTCCATATGATAAGAAGTCATGGCTCCTTAGTACAGTGGAATACACAATGAGTACTATTCACATATTTACGCTTTCTTTTTTATAAACATGAAAAACTAACCTATCTCACTGTTAAACACAATCAAATGACATTATTTGATCACTAAAAACAACATATAAACACAGCTGAATATTTGAAACCGGTATATCCTTGAACCAGTTCTATATTGAAGCTTCAAAAAGGGTAGTCAGACCAATTTTTCAATTTTCAAAGATGTCATTTCACTTAAACAACAGTATATTTGATCTATGCCGCTTCTCTAAAAGAAAGCCTTGGTTTTATTTAGCCTAACTTATAGTCTTTCTAATCCAGACCGAGTTACATGGAAAAGTCATTAATTATTTAAACAACAAAAGTTGTCTTCCTACTGTATACGCTTTCATACAATTAAATGAAAACAATTGAGACAGTAAATTAATCATGAGAAACGAAGCTTTGTTAGAAAACCATCTTACTATCTGAAAAAAAGGCAGAAATATCGGCTCATAATCAAGACAGATTCGATAAGCTAAGTCTCTCACTTACTTGAAAGAATATGTATGCATGACTTAGCAAAAACGAATTTTAAAAAAAAATGTATTATTTCAGTGAAGCACTTCATAATAAATGTTATGTTGATGAAATAGATCAACTTTAAAACAAGTATATGAAATATAGCATATTTATCCACTGATGAGAAGAGATTATGATAATTGATGGTTTAACGTTTCATCGATCAAACTGTTATCTGTTAAATTCACAAATCACCAACAGAAAACAACAGAAGAGAGAGAGAGAGTAACTATCATCTGTTAGCATATACCAATAGTCAAGAAGAAGGAAAGTATTAAAAAATGCAGAGGCAACAACTCACCGGAGAATTAGTAGGCAGTGCTAAACCTGCTGTTGGAGAATTCATTTTATGACTGTCTATTGTAGTAGACATATTGATATCTCGAGAAACCAAAACACGAAAATAGTTTGTATTGGCACGCAGAGCAGAAACAGCCACATGATGCTCAACATTGACAAGATTAACACCATTAACCTGAAATTATAAGGTCAAAAAAATATCAGATAAAAAGTATATAACAGGCATAAAACAAGTCAAAGTTGGAATTTTACTTGAATAAAACTAACCTCCAATAGTTTATCGCCAAGTTTAAGTCCAGATGCGGCAGCTAGTCCCGTAGGATTTAGTCGACTAACAAATATTCCTTGGTCTGAACCACGAAACGGTATCGACCCAACACCACCAGCAACACTAAGACCCAAACCAGCACCAGGTTGTCGATGAATATGCACTTCGACTTGTTCTTGTAAAGTAGCAGTAGGTTGACGGTGTAGAGTAGATGGGGAATGCAATTCACGATTTTGCAAAGGAATATCTGGAGCATATAAACCACCATAGGGTGATATATATCGTCTAACTGTTCCATCAGGCTTTAAAATTTGAAGCAATACATTCGAATGAATAAATATGTATGGTGTAGCGAATACAAACGAAGATCAATACAAAACATTATGTAATACTCTAGAATTGATATTCGGAACAACTATTCTCATAAAGAATTGTCCAAATCCTTCATAATTGAATCAATGTTGATGGTATTGTTTAACTACTCAGTATTATTCTTTTGTATGAGCAGTATCACTAATTGTACAGCTGAATTAGCGGTTTTACACATTATAATTAGGTTAGTGAAATTAGAAAGATAGGAATAGTATTCACTAAGACTGCATAACGTCAGTGTGACAGCGTTAGTGGAAGTCAATAAAATGAGAACATCAGTTTTCTATGTGCTTACCGGTGTACCACACTAGTATAGCTGCTAAGACTTTCATAATTTCCTAAATTTTCATTCAGGACAACATTTTCTTCACAACTAGGCGACTTAGTCATCAGCTATAAAATGTCATCTACAAAGTTTACATTCAAGTCAAGACATTAGAAATAACGACAATTATTCTACAAACAAACCTCGCCTGGTTAACTAGTTCACTAGTTACTAGCCGGTCCGGGTAAAGAGGAAGGTTGGACACAGAACTAGCAACCCTACTCCGCAAAACCAATCCAACCCCTAAACAAACTTCAAAGCACAAACAAAATATAAAAAATAATAACAATATTATTCCTCACTGGAATCGGACAGATGAAATGACACCAGTTGGTGAAAGCCTTCGGGAACCCAATTGGCCGATGTGTCTTCTCTCTCTCGATCAAAGCAAAAGTAAACATCGGGACATGGAATCTCCGAACAATGTTTGAAGCTGATTGCCAAGGCTGCCCAGATTGCCAAAGATATCAGAAGGTATAACATAAAAGTGCTAACAATCGAATCTCAGAAAGCAGGTGGAATGGAAGTCGACTCTCCAAAATGTCAACTCAACAGCAGTCAATAATCTACTCCGATATTGTCACCCAGACAACAACCACAAGCACACTGAGTTTACGAGGGCTATCATGATGTCCCCCTCCTAAGACCACCGAAGGCTCTCACACAGTGGGAACAAATCTCCTCCAGGATCATAACAGCAAGGTTCAACTCAAAAGGAAGGAAAATCACAATCATACAATGCAACGCTACACACCTACAAATAATGCAGAGCAAGAGAACAAGGAGGAATTTTACAGACAACTGAAACCAGCACTCAACAAGACCTCACCTCACCTCACCCCTGATGCCGACATCAAAATTCTAATGGGCAACATGAATGACAAACTGGGGGAGGACAACACAGGAACAAAACAAACCATGGGTAGAGAAGCACTCGGTGAGGTGATGAACGAGAATTGAGAATTGTTTGCAGAATTCTGTGCACTCAACAATTTGATGATTGGAGTGAGGCACTGTGTTCAAGCACAAGGATATCCACAAGTCAGCGACACGGATTCAATCTCACCAGACACCAGCGCACACTAAAAATCACATCGAATTCATCTCAATGTGAAGAAAGTGAAGACGCAGCCTACTTGACACAAGGTCAAGGAAGAGGAGCAGATGTAGGCTCAAACCACTCACTGTCTAGTGCAAGCAACCCACCTTCCAAATCAAGTCAAAAGCCTTCAAGGAAGTTGGTGATAGACCACAGTTCAAGTTCAATATCCAGAACAGAAACTCAAGGATGAAACTACATAGCAAATCTTCACGTCGGTAAGCCATCAAGACAAAATGGCAGATATCGAGCAACATCTCTGAAGAAACCTGTGTGGATGAGCACTGGAACTCTTTGAAAGCTATGTGGAAAGAAACCTGCATAACCATGTTAGGAAGGAAGAAGTAAGAAGATAAGGAATGGATCTCGACGGACACATGGAAGCTGATAGAGCAGGGAGAAGAGGATGGTGAAGCAGAAGATAAAACCAGTGCAGTGCAGTGCTGGGATGAACAACGAAAAGAGAAACTGAACACAACCTACAAAACACTACACTCGACAAAGAAGTGAAGAAGAGTGTGCGAAAAGAGAAAAGACACTTCTACGACACACTTGCAATTGAAGCAGAACAGGCTGCAATAGGAGAGACAGAGATCTGACAACATTATATCAAATAAACAGGTTACTATCTGGGAAGGGGGAAGAGATCAACACAGATGAGACGAACAAAAGATAGTGGAGGAAACTGAGCAAAGTGGAGAAACAAAGGGAACGATGGGCTGACCACCTCAAAAAACTAAAGAATCGACCATCAACACCACCACCTGCAACTCGTCAAGAAATACTACCAGCAGCCACAGAAATACCAGTGAACACAAGCACTTCGACAGAAGCAGAAGTCCTGAAAGCCATAAAGCTGCAGAAATCTGGGAAGACAGCAGGACCAAATGGAATTTCGCCAGAAGCACTGAGAGCAGACGCAGAAACAACAGTGGACATGCTCACACCACTCCTGTTGCAAAAGGTCTGGAAGGAAGGGAAGGTACCTGTGAATTGGTTGGAAGAAGGGTTACCTTGTCAAACTCGCGAAGAAGGGAGACCTCATTGTTAGCAAGAACTGGTACGGAATCACTCCCTGTCCCTGTCCACCACATGCAAAATGTTATGCCGCATCATCCTAGAGAGGCTAAAGGATGCACTGGATTCAAAACGAAGACCGGAACAGGCTGACTGGCTGGCTTTAGGAAATAAAAATCATGTGCGGATCAAATTGCAACGCTTCGCATCACCACAGAACAGAGTATAGAATGGCAGTCAACTCTACACCTCAACTTTATCGACTTTGAGAAGGCCTTTGACAGCGTCGACCGAGAGGTAATTTGGAAACTGCTTCAATACTACGGGATACCGCGAACCCTTATCAGCCTCATTCCACAACTATATGAAGACGCCACATACCAGCCAAGTAATTCACAATGGAAACCTCAGTGATGCTTTTGAAGTGAAAACAGGAGTGAAACAAGGTTTCCTACTATTACCCATGATATTCCTGATTGTAGTGGACTGGATCATGCAACAAACTGTGAGGAAGGAGAAGATGGGTATAAACTGCTTGACCGATGAAAAGACCCCCGCAACGACTTGGATTTAGTCAGTGATTTATGTCTAATGTCGCGCAAACTCGGAGATCCACAGGCGAGCACCAACAAGTTGGCAGAAGAGGCAGCGAAGACAGGACTTGAAGTGAACGTAGAGAAGACGGAGGTGATGAAGATACCCAACCAACAACCGTATCAACAGCAATAAGCTCCAATCACTATCAATGACAGGAACTTAAAGGAAGTAATCTCTTTCACCTATCTAGGCAAGGTATCAACGTTTCAACTGCAGGTGGCGGCACAGACGAGGACGTCAAAGTTAGGATCGGTAAAGCAAGGCAGGCGCTCATTTGCCTGAAACCAGTGTCGAGATCTTGTGCACTGCACTCAGCATAAAGTGTGAACAAGATCCGGATTTTCAACACCAACGTCAAATCAGTGCTTCTGTATGGTTCAGAGACTTGGCGCGTTACGAAAGGGATTTCTAACAAACTACAGACATCCATCAACAACTATCTACGCTAACTCATTACTGAAGCTCAAATGGATTGCAAGAAAGGATAAGCGACAAGGAACTCTGACGTCGTAACGAACCAACCAAGAACCTATTGCTCAACAAATATGCAGAAGGAAGCAGAGATGGATTGGGCATTCACTGAGAAGGCCGACTGAGGACATCACGCGTCAGGCCAGACCCTAAAGTGGAACCCATATGGGAAGCGAAGAGTTGGGCGCCTGAGTAGAGGGTGACATGGGTGAGATCGTGCGAGGAGGAAATGAGAGCTTCTGGGCTGTCATGGAGTCAGGTTCAAACAATTTCAGAGAAGAGAGTGCACTGGAGACGTGTTACTGAAGCCTTATGTTCCATTAGGAACCCAAGGGACAAATAATAATGAAATTCTAGAAACATTCTATCTTACAGTAATGTAACAGTATAAGTTGAAGTACGCCTAGCTAGAAACCGAAATTGTAAACTGTAAAATATCGGGGTATTTCTACAATTCTATTGACCCCACAGTTAGGAAACTTAGACCTACGGACATTGTTCTTATAGATAAACACACAGTTGAGCGCCTAAAGATATAAAAAAGGTTTCCATAGTAGGCTTCACCTTCTTCTTCTTGGTCGATATGTGATAAGTGAAAGTGAGTTTGAGGATTATCCAACTGGTAGTAGATTTGCTAGAAATATTATCCAAATTTTAAAAAAACTTATCAATGTGCGCAAATATTCATTACAGGTATATGTATACGAAACTAGATTTGAAGACTTAGGACAGTTTATTAATTCTTAGACAAGATTTGTTTGCGGTTTAACAAAAGTATCATTCATTAAAAGTGAGAGTTTGGCAATAGGCTCAACATGTTGTTTATAAGTGGGAAAGCGTTTTCAAAATCTAAGACAGAATAAGGATCCGTTTCGTATTATTTTATTATCACTGAAGGTACTTCGAAATCCTATTCCTTAACGTTCTTTAGTAGTAGCAACCTTTCAACTAAAGATACTAAATAACTAATCTAACTTATCAAATGTTCTGCTGGAATTGTTGTTTTACTCAGAATAGACACTTATTAGAAAACTTGAGTAATAGTTGATGCATAGTCAATTTAATATTTTACCGATTTTCAAATATCAACTAAAACGTTCAATTAAAAACGCCAAACCAGAACAGAACACGTCTCATTACAGAAAGACGTACGAAATCAACATAGAACTTCGCACACAAGTACATCAGTTCAAGGCGCTACACTTGATAGTAGCATATAAAGAGTAAGTGGATAGAAAAAGAATGATATCAAAATAGACAAAGATGTATGAGAGGAGGAAAATTCGAAGATAAAGGTCATCGAAAATATTCAAGTTTTGGAAGACGTCAAACGGTGAATAAATCTGCGCTAGTGCGACCGATTTCCAAACCATTTCACCAACAGTCCTTAATCACTGATGCTTGTCATCTCAAAGACCCCAGCCAGATTAGTCTACATCTACAACATGACTCAGACCAGCAGTCAGGAACTTATTGTACTAGGGTCGCATCTTGATCTGATCAACGTAAACTCTCTTCCAACCTAATCCAGCTTCCTCCAGTATGAAGCGTCAAGGTAGGAGGGGGCTGGGCAAGCACAGTACATTCCCAGGCAACTTTAACCGATGATGGTCCATAACCTCATCAATCGACTTGTTTGTATTGCCCAGTACCCTTCGCCTGACTTCCACACTGTTCACACAGTGGTTCCAGCGAACATAAGCAATATTATGAAGACAACTGTGACCAAAACTTGCAACCGTCTCACGTCATCTACTTTTAATGGCACTGTCTCAGTCGTATAATGGGACAGAACGAACTGCAGCGCAGAATACTGGTCCTATGATGTATAGTTTGATATCTCACCAGTCGGCGCGTTTTTCCCTTCATTTTTCACTTAAATCAACAAAGGACGAGGCACACTGTGTAACGGCCCGAGTTGGAAAAGAGAACGAAAATTTGCATGTGGGTGCATCCGTTCGAGTTGCTAGACTTCCCAGTAGCGAACAAAGAACAAATGTATGGGAAAAAGTGGTGTCAAAGTAGATTAATGTATATAGGAGGAGAGCAAATCTAAACATTCAGGCTAGCGAAAACATTAAAGATGTCAGAAAGGGAATACATCTCCACGATTGTGACCGATTTTCATCCATCTTATCAAGTCCTCAAAAATTGATTCCTATGGTCTCGAGAACCTCAGTCATGTAGTTTACACGACTCAAACCGACCTTCAGAGACTGGTACCACGTCTTCGTAAGCTCATCTTGACTTCCCCCTTGCAAACTAATCCAACTTCTTCTGGCATCGCACGTCGAGTTAGGTGGTGACCCGGCATGAACAACATATGTCAAAGCCACCTCAGTTGGTGAAGGTTCACAGCCTCATCGATTGAGTTTCCTATTCTCCTTCGCCTAACCTCGACATTGCTCATGTGATGATTACACCATACGCGAGCAACGTTATGAAGACACTTGTGGTCAAAATCTCGTGACTATTTTCATAATATGACAGGTGGATGTGAAACGCGTGCCAAGCATAGACAGATTTCTGCTCGAGGTGTTCAGGGAGCCTGGATTTTGTCAGCATCTCCGCCTAGCAGGACAGTGTCGTTTACGTACTCCAGGTGAACCAGATGCCCTCCAGGGAGTAGACTAATCCCTGTGAAGTGAGATGTACCCGAGGTTATGTTCATGAGCACATCTATAGAGAAGTTGAGAAGGAACGGTGACAGCGGACATCTATGTATGAAACCATTAGTTGTCGTCATTTTAGATGACAACTCTCCATAAGCCCTTATACGCCTGTATGAGTTTGAGTAGAGCGCTTCGATTACCGTTATGTACTCGTTGAGTACTCCTTTCACAGATGGATACTGCAACAGTTGTAGTATGAAAACATTTGAGTAATGTGTTGAAGATAATGAAAATTAGAAATATCAGCCGTATCATGATAATGATGAAATTTTTTTCAAGTGCTTAGTTTATTCAATAAGAAGCAATGGTAATTAAGCCAATGATGATATTCATGTACCAGCGAAAACCTACCACTCACTCGTATTGTACAGTTCACGGCATTAGCTTATGTAAATCCCTCACTCTTGTCGGTAAACACAGATGTGATTTGAATATGAAAAAAAACCCGTTCTGTCAACTAAATTATTCACAAGAATATGAGATGATGGATCAACAACACTCTTTCGCTTCTTCTTTCCCTCTCCCTAAATACTTTCAGATTGTTGGCTTCTACTGATGAAATACTGTTGATTTACTGACATGCTACATATAAAAGTATACTTGACAAGATATAATTTGAGTGAATCACAAATCAATTCTATTTGAGCAACATCAGTAATCTGAAGTAGATTCAGTAGTATACAGCTGACACATAAGTGCTTATTATTTTGTGGTTTTTTCATAGAATGGGGAATCTATTAACGGCTGTATAATTCTCGGTCATTCCTTAACTGATGCCTTGCATACGAAAATAACGTCCTTGTTGAATGGCTGAAGATGACTAACAGGAACCATGAGAAGTTATGTGAGTTGCTTAATAGATTCGCTTCTCCAATCTATGATTTAAGATAGTTTGATTTATTCCAAGATGCTTCACTACATGTGGCAGCAAAAAGTATCAGAATCAATCTAGATAGCTGTTGAATTACCCATCTTATAGTATTTACACACTAGAAAGAAAATGTAGTGTTGCAACTAATTAGTAAGTTTGGAAATGGCTAGTAGGTTACCGTTACTTCCTATTACCCAGAGAGACCTATTTTGTAACTTAATCCTTCATAATATTCATGCATTTTTTTCTACGTTATGTAGCAGGTGATTACCGAATAATTTCTTTCACGAAGGTACACGACCACTAACATATCTATATTACTTATATAAATGACTCTATAACTGTGAGTTGTATATCAAAGCGTCAACCAATTGACTTAATTAGTGGTTGACAAATTCAAAAATAAACGCACTGGTATTATTCTACATAAATAAATCAGATGACATCGATACGGAAAAATTACTTCACATGGCACGCGTGTTGTAGGCTTGCATATTACTGTAGCTTTAAGTAATATGTTTAAGCACTTAATTACTTGAGCACTTTTATCTGGATATGATGAAAATATGAAATCAGTTTAGATATGTATAAAAACGTTCGGCAAAAAGCGAAACGAAAACCGTATTTATTGATGATGAGTAAGAAAAGTGGAAAACAAAACATAGGTACATACAAACAGATAAAGAACACTTACTTCAGCTAAACTTGAATCAGGATTTGGTGAAACTGATGCTCGATACTTTTCTAAGATTCTCAAAACTGCCTCTTCACTATCCACTTCAGAAAAAAATGATGAAAAGAAAGGAAAGGATAAGCTTAGAAGAATAACCGTGAATGAATATCATGAGCATACAGAAGTTGATAATAAAGTGTGATAAGTCAGTATCATACACAAGAAAAACATATTTACTCCAGTATTTATAACAACAATCACCTGACTAGGGTGGTACAGTTAAGGGTGGGATGTGCTTATTCGTTTTCTAAACATTTATTTCAGACATTTCCAGAGATCTTCAATTCACCACCTTCATCAGGCAGGAGTATTTTTTAAAAAGCAATGCTACTCCACTTTGTCACTGTTATCCTCATGTTTATTGTTATTTAACTCAACTACTCATCAATGTTTGAATACCAATGTATCAGCATTGATTTAAGTCAATAAACAGCTGCTTACATAAAACGATCCTTAGTTGTTATACTTGATTAAATTATTCCGAAAACGAACGTGCAGCTCCAGCTGACCTATTTAAATGTTCAAAATTTGATGAACCCCAGATCTAATAGTAAATATATGTGAATACGACTCTGTAAAGACTCACCACTGGAGTGTATCGCATTTCATAAAGTCTCACAAGAGAATACAGTGAAGTGCTTTCAAACATTTCTCAATCTATCTGCTCGAAAAGTGTGTTTAGTGTGTAGGGACCCTAATGAACCAACAGCGAGTAGGATGGCATGAATGACATAAAATTAAAATTTCTATCTGGCAAAAACCAAAACCGCTACAGTTAACCGGTGGCTAGAAGGAGTGTGAAAAATAATTAAGCTGATCCACTGTCATAATGTAAGAGTAAAACTTTGACGCTGTGATTCTATGTACTACATTGTTTTTTTGATACACAGCACAGTGACATAGTATTCTTTATTATCCAATATATATATATATATATATATATATATATATATAAACTAATAAGAAAATGCTACAGTTGTTCTAACTTCAGTGTTTTCTGCCTTTAGTAAGTTAGCAATGACTCACTTGACGAAGGGTTCAAAAGGAAATTCAAGTGCTACGGCATAGTAAGATACTCAATTTGAACAACTTACCTCCAGTCGTTTTCAGTGATGGAAGATAGGCTGTAGTAAGACAACACACTAGAATGCTTGAGAAGTCATAGAAGACTAAGAGTGTCTTTTCACCCCGAAATAAGATTAATACTATTTCTATTTTCAAAAGGTTGCTCAAAGTCAGCGAAAATATGTGGGTAATCTAAAAGACTGTCAGTAACTGCTCAGGCATGATGGAGGTCGTCATTCACTGAGTGAAGTAATTTTCAGAAATCATTTATGCAGCTTAAACATGTACTATGAACGTGTTACTCCAACAGCTCCTATTCCGTCTACTATTTATCAGCTCTGAGAAAGGTTAAAAGAAGCGAAATAGTGATCATTAGATGACACAGCACTACCAACTAAAAGCTAGTTGTACTGGGCTAAATTCACTTAGGACTTCAAAAATCCTTGAGCAAAATCAGAGAGATCATGAAGCTGAGTTTCTTGAGACACATGACTCAGAATCGAAAACAGTGCCCATATATTCGATTAGTGAAAAGTAACAAATGTGGTAAAAGCGCAGAAATACAGCACATGACGGTGCCGCATAACTTAGTTTGGTAACCATACTGAAAATTTGATTGATTGACTTCGGTAAGCACTCAGCACAGAACAGCTACATATGTTACTCATTGGTAATCATTTTAAGTACATTACATAGTATTGCAGAGGATAAATTGTATCCCGAAAAGCTTGAGAGTAAAGTCGAATACAAAATTGATAATCAAGAACAATTGCTAAGCATAAAAGCGCTCGGGTCATTAATCTTCAAAATGTTATTCTAATTACCTCCATCCGCAGTTTTCGACTGGATTCGAGCACGCTTTGTATAATGTGGTGTATCACGTCGGATAAGTTTCTGATTCGATTTCTCTTCATTATCTTCAACATCATCTGTAAATCCAACTCGTCTGGAAATCACATAAATTTCCTCCTATAATAAAAAGGATTGAAAGATATACAACAAAGGAAAACGAGTAGAAACGATAGTGTCGCATAGCAAAAACAATGTAACCACATGTATGAAGAGAAAACAAGTTAACAGAGATTTCGGGAAATTATACAATGAGGGATGTTACGGTGGTTTTGAAAAGTGAATTTATGTTTATTTATGGCATTATCAACTGTTTATACTGTACTTTGTCACCCAATCGCACTACAGGTCACACTGGCAACAAAATAAATGTAAAGTGAAAAAAATTGAAAATTTTAGATCGAATATCAACAAGCTATGTACAACACCTACTACCATATAGAGCACAATTACACTGTGATTGTGCAAACTGAGAGTCCAAACACATGATACGGAGGTTGAAAGTCAAGCGGTTAGATTACTGAACAGATGTATCATGCAGAGAACTGTGTTTGTCCCCAATATGCTATGAATTGAATTTGTGCCTGCATAGTGATTTAATCTTTTGTTTTTCTCAGAACAGTCAAACAGAGACCTTTGGGGAATTGATACACTATCCAATGTTTAAGACTCCTTCAGTTAGACAACTGGATGTACGGATTTCAAAAAATAGCACATGTACTGACAAGGCACTGAGTTTTAAAGTATCAATGAATACAATAGAGGATAGTGGGAAATGACAAAGATAACAGTAAAAAGTGAGTATGATGGAAACAATGATGTGGAAGTAATAGTAAAAATAACCAGACTATCTAAAAATGATTTTTTCGACGATTCGATTTCAGTATGCATGGAGATAATCACTAAATTTAGTAAAAACAACCTTTGATGCAACGGAATTAGAAATACAGACATTTAGATCACACAAACAGTATATTTGGATATCGAAAATTGAGGCGAATCATTTGAATGTCGTCAGAAACTTAATTTCTCCTCATATTTATTCACTACTATCCCATAAGTAATTATGAAGAAAACTGGTGAAAAATACACATGGTATATTTAACTATCTGAAGAAATAATGACAACATCAACAGTTTCTTCACTTTATCTTTGTTATTACTGGAGACGTTACTGTGCATCCAACACAATAAAATAATTACATATACCCTTCAACACAACTTCCCAGTTTCGACAGAAAGAGGAAATCTATCGACTAAATCACTACCACTTTATCGTAATAACCAAGTTGAACATTAGGACAATTACTCAACGACGGCATTAGATGGAGGTCGTGCTATATCGTGAACTGAAAGAAGTAGGAAATACAAACTATCGGATTCCGACTCAGTGGCTCAATGGCATCGTGTTGGCCACGGAGCTGAAGGTCGTGGGTGCGATCCTTGGCAGGGTAAAGTCATGGGTGCGCACTACTGAGGAGTCATAAACTAGGGTAAAATAGCTGTTCGGTGCTTTCAGGTTTCCTATGTTTCTTCCAAATGATGTCAGCCCATTATGAACACCAACCTGATAATAATGGCGAATCACTTGATGACTTTAAAATGTTCTTTAGTACAACAAGAAATCAATTAATCTAAACAATCATCAGTTTCTTCACTGATGTAAACTTCAAAGTTATGTACAAAAGTAACAGTGAATCACGTTTTAACTCAAAAATTGTAGATGTATAGAAATGATGAAAAATCACAACTAACTGTTAAACACAGTTGACTGGATGTGATTGACAAGAACAAATGTCTGTATATATAAATATAGAGAGGAATTAAGTCATTTGCATAAACTGTCTATCGATGAGTTATGTAATACCGAGCGTATATATATGCATATAACAAAAATCTACATAAGGTGAACTATAGAATACACCATTTCTATATGGTAATTCATTGCAGATCTCCGAATCATAAACTATGGATTTCTTAATTAGAACATGTAGATCATGTACTATATTATGCTCACTTAACACGTTATATTACTAGCGTATTCCAATTAAATGGTTCAGGGCTAGTTCTACCACTTACAGAAATGCAAACTCGAACTTCGAAGATGCAGGGTCTCTCTAGGTCCAGAGGATAAATACTTTCTGAATTCATTAATGAAAAGCTAGTTATTCATATTGAAAGAAATATGAGTGTACAAAACAGCTGTCCAGTGCTCCCAGGCTTTCTTTGTTCCTCCAGCTGATGTCAGTCTACAATTAATAACAACTTGTATATGAAATGTCGAATAAATTCGTGGTGAAGTTCACAGTAAGTATACCATCTATGCTTGTCATGGGATATTCAATAAAACGAAAACAGTTAATAATAAAAGCTTAAATGCCATGAGTGTTTTGAGATTAGCTAGATAAGGTTTCATACTGAAAAACAGCTTGAGAAAGCCAAGAATTTAGCGACTGAGAACTATTCAAGTGACTAAATTTAAAAAATCTAAATCGATCATTATTGTTCCAATAAAATGATTGAAATTTTTAATAGTCCCTTCGGATTTAAACGAAGATAGGACTTGATTCTCTCGCTCAAGCATCAAGATGGTGAAATGAAGTCAGAAACTGGCCAGTAATGGTTTAAACACCATTTGCCACATCAAGTGTAACATTGATTTGGAATTACGAGTTGGGATGTTTAGAAACTCACTTCATCCCCAGATCCTCGCATCTCAGCTTTCTTTTTTTTATACGAGAAGTACGTCGATATGAGGATGACACTTATAATACTTACAGTAATATGGAAGTATCTCCATAGAAAGGAAGAAAGTTACGCACGCTTAATCACATAAAAGCATTTTGAAACCTTTCAGACAGTTAAGAGACGTAATACTGGTTCACTGCAACAAAACAAGCAATATAGACAAAAGTGCATCAGTTTAAGTTTCCACACTTCACAGTAACATATAAAGAACAGGTAGATAGAAAAAGATTGATATCAAGATAAAAAAAATTCGTGTGAGAGAATAAATAATTTGAAGATAACGTTTAGTGTAAATAATCAAGCTTTAGAAGATGTCAGTCAATGAGTGAATACATCTGCCCTACTGTGATATATAAGTCACGTACAATACAACAGCTGAATTATTTTGAAGATGCGGAAAACAGGAGTCTTACACAAGAAACGACCAAAAAAAATAAATAAAAGGTACAATTTTCGTTGTCATTGTAAGTTTTGGAACCAGTTACCAAAACTTACTCTTTGTAAAAGCAAACTGATTCAAGTAGTCAAAAAACAGTGATTATTATTTCAACGGCAACAAATATTTGTGCTACTGAACGGTCTAAGCTGAAACATCACAAGCATGAATGTCAGATACGTCATAATTATTATTTTGCATTCATCTACCTCCTACCTTTATACCACATCAAGGTAACAAGAGAAAGGAAATTAGACGTTACATTCAATATTCGATATTTAATTTATCGTCCACTTAAAGACTTTAAATTGAAGTGAATGACTTTTTTGACAGAAAACAATGATTTCTTCCTCCATGAATGGTTTCATGTGGATAGGAAAATGATCATCATTAAATGATTTAATTCTGAGGTAGTATTCATCATGGACTAACATCAGTTGGAGAACCATTGAAAGCCCGGCTGAATGGTTAACACGTTCACCACGAAACCCGAAGGTCCTGAGTTCAATCCCTACCCGGGTGATGGGTGAGTGGATGCTGAGGAACTCCATACTAGAAGGTAACAGCTGCCCAGACTCCCAGATTTTTAATGGTTCTCCAACTGATGTCAGTCCGTGATGAGTACTACCTCAAAATAAAAAACTTCCATTCATCTCAAAATAATTAAATGGTTGAGTACATAACTCCAACCGACACATTACATAATACACGATTATTAAATTGAACTATATTGTTCATTTGTAATACTATTATGACAGCAACAGATGTAATGGTAAGTAAATACTTCTAAGAACAAAACCATCCTTGAATCGGTAGCACCCTTCTGTTTAAACAAACGAAACTGTTTCATTTGAGGTGGTCATTATTTGGTTGAAAAAGATTTTTTATTTATGAGAAAGAAAACAACCATCTGAGTTCAATGTATTAAAAGTAAATTTTTAACGAAAAGTTTACACACTATGAGTTTTTGCTTTGGAAATATTTTGAGCAGAATTACTGGCTGTGGTCACATCAACAGTTGGAATGTTTTAGTAATATTTATTGATATATCTGACTTTAAGTCTACAACTACGGTAAAAGAAAATATACACATTATATGCAATCTCAAGTACGAAATGACGTGATAGCTCGTGAATCTCAGTCGTTGACAGGGCCGAATTGATCAGCTTCTATTGGCATAAGAGCTTCTGTGTAGATGTCTTGATATTGCCGGCATTTTCGATTCTAACAATAATGATGGATAAAAGCCATCAGTGCAATTCAGAACGTGAATTTCGTCCTATTCGGATATCACCAGCCAGACGAACCTGACCTCCAGTGGATTCTACTGCTAGCACCTATCTATCATTAATATTGAAACTGAAAATACCGGCAATATTGAGGCTTTCGCACAGGACCCCATATGCCAATAGTGGCCGATCAAGCCGGTCCAATCAACAGCGGAGATTCAAAAACCATAACATCAAAACTGTGTTATACCCGTCACACAGGGAGCGGCTATCGCAACTCAGGTGCCTAGTGGACAACGTACTGGCGTATGAAGCAGCCAGTTCTGAGTTCGAGTCTTAGTGGGAACAAAATCACCTACTAGGAGGCAGACATATCCACCTGATGAGTCCTGAACAAGACGAAACGCGCTGTAGGCCACTATCTATCATTAATATTATACATTGTTCCTGTTACACTTTCTGTTCTAATAGAGTACTGATTAACCTGCATACATTAATTTAGAAATAAACCACTATTCTCCAACATAAGTTTACAATAAATGGATATATGCACAATACACCTTGAGCAATTTTCACACACACGCACATCGCTATGAAACATGATGAGTTTAAAAAAATCCTTTCGGTGACAACATTAGGAAAGGTATTTATAAAATAGTTGTTCCAAGATATAGGATGGATGACAAATTGAATCTTTTATAAACGAATTAAGAAAGGTGTTTACGCTAACCCGTGAAATGAATATTTGCATAAATGTGACTCAAAACGGGAGATTTAACATTTCCTCCAAGAAACCTTTTGATGACACACAACATACCATGGTTATTAATGATGAATGAATTTGACAGAAAACCGAAATCGTGATGGAACTCAAACTAACCTAAGTGCATGAGTGCAAAAGAGAGCACCCATCAATTCAAGATATGCACATACTACTAGTAGACCTTATATTTAGGCTGATTAGACGTGTTAGGCACTTATTTCTATGATAAAAAATATATGTTTGCTTAAGGTATTTTTCATCATTAGCAGTCAACCAACCAAGGCATTGAGCAGAACATACTCAAAACTAAAAAGTAGTAGTCCTTAGTACTCTAAGCAAAGGTAGGCTGAAAAGTGCATAAATTTTAGCAACAATGATAGTTTCGAAATCATATTACTCAAAATTTCGAAGTTCTGACTTGCATGGACTCAAATATTCCCAGAATCAAACAGCCAGTATCTAACTACACACAGACTAGCAGTTAGAGACTTCATAGACTAATGTCATATCTTGGTTTAGATACTTTTAGCTTAATAGTCGAAAAGAAAATTACATTTTCCAACTTATGGTTAAGCAATCTGTATGAAGGAAAAAATTAGATTTTTGTTAACACGAAACTAAACATTTTTGTGGCATCACAAAAACTGAAATACAACCACTTTTCTGCATGCAACTGGACAAATTCAGATTACCTTGTGAAATATGCAAGATATGTTAACAAATTTATGAGTAAGACTGTTAGGAAACTAAAGGGTTTCGAGTCAAATTTAGCTGTTTCCGACATTCAGTAAAAACATTGCTTACTGTTAAGAAACAGCAAACAAGGATGAAATAGCTGTCTAGTGCTTTAGCATTTTTACTGGCATTCCAGTTGACTGAAAAATGATACCATTCCACGAAGACTCTAGTTTTTGGTCATAGCCGTGCAGAGAGATGTAGACTGCCTGATTGAGTCCCCGAGTTGATAAGAATCTGTGGTAGAAGACCCTTGGTGAAATGGCTGAAAATGAGTCACAATGGCATAGATGTATTCACTCAGACTTTTAAAGCTTGAATATTTTCACAAGCTTTTATCTAAAAGTTGTTTCTCATTCCCATACATCTTTGTCTATTTTCATATCAGTCTTCTTCTATCCATTTGTTCTTTGCCAGCTACTGTGAGGTGTGTCAACTTAAACTGATGCACTCGTGTGGGGGGTTCTATGTTGATTTAATCAGTTTGTCTGTCCGTCTGTCAGCTGACGATGAAAACAATTTTTAGTAATAGATTAGTTGGATTTCTAAGGTTAGCAAATATTTACTATCCATTTAAGACAGAGAATATGAGTGGAAAACTTATTTTTAACTCTGAATAGGACGAAACCATATTGCTTGTAAATAACATCAACCAAGATTAACACTAAAATGAAATACTTACACCTCCGCTACTGTAGGCATCATCATCCAGATTTCCTTGTACATCCAAAGTATCAGGCAATTTCTTTACTGGAGAGGAAAGATGAGATGGATTTTCTGAAGTATCTTCCTCAGAAGCAATTCTAATCATTGGATCGACAGGAAGTTTAGGTCTACAAACACTTGTTGGACTTTTTGGAGTTGACACATGATTGAAATATCCGGGAGACGTTGAGTTAGCGGTAGATATTTCCATTGAATTTCGAGTTTTATTGCGTGGTCTAAAAGAATTATACTCTGAGTTAGTAAAATAATGAGAGTAACAAGTAGACATAGATCGATGATTTATGACACAGAGAGGAGAGATTGACTATCAAATTACAATAGAATTTAAGACATACCCATACATTCTCAAGCTCTTACGTTTTTCCTACCTTCAACATTTAGACTGACAAAGAAACAGTATGTTAAATGAACCCAAGCAGTACAAAGCACACATTTTTCTGAAGATTTGAATTTAGGTTACCATCATAAAATACGAAGGAAGGTTCGCCGGGGAGGGGTCGAGAAACGAGAATAATAAATCGATCATTAGAACACTATAATATCACTTAAGAAAAGTACGAATGTAAACGTACTTAGCGGTAGGTCCAGTGGACATTGCGTTGTCATTGATAGTTGTCACAGAATTCTCGTCAATTGATTTGATTAGATTACGATTATTCGAATAAGCAGATGGATCTAAGTTGTGATTGCTAGCTATAGGGGATTTTATGTCCTGGTTCGAAGTTTCAGGATGAGACAACGGTACAGCATTATCATTGAAATTCTCATCTAAGGATTCTGATGAACTTGTGAAGCCTGAACCATCGCGAGTTGTATTGCTCGGTGAATTTATCTATAATACATGGGTTAAACAATAGAGTCATTAGATAATACATAAGATGTAGTCTGAATGACTAGTGCTTTCAACAGTCACTGAAAAGAAACTCGATAAAAAAGTGGGTTTATCTTTGCAAACACACTATATAACCATCATATAGTCATTCTGAAACTCAGGAATTTCAGTAAATACCAATGTGCGTAAAAGACAGTAATCATTACTGCTACTTTCCAACTTGCCAGCTAACGCAGGAATTAACTCCTTCAGAGTTTTTCACCTAAAGAAAGCTTGGAATAAATAGGCTTTATAAATACCCTACTCAGTGATCAGTTATATTTATACTGCCGCTTACACTAAACCGAAATCTGATATCCATCAAAGGAATCCCAGGTGGTTAACAATACACTGCTTTGTGACTTGCTTTCATCAAAGAACAAACATGGAGGTACTGCTCGAAGAAAGTGATCGAAGTTTCCATATAATTTTTCGAACAACCGGTTACGCGATACGGAAAGCAAGTGTATATATACGATTGTTAGTACGCATAGGCGGTTATTTGTTAAAGCTAGTAAAAGTCCTCTCATCCACTAATATGAATAATAGTCTCGATTTGCTTTCCTTAAGATTAGTAGTCGGTTTACAACAAACAAACATAACAGAAGCGCAATGGAAGAATACTCTGATTCATTGAGGTTTCATCAAAGTTGGAGAAATTAAACCTAAATATCATAGTAAGAACTAAAATATTTTCCGTAACTTGAAAAACAAAATCTGTTTTACAGCGTTTACTTCTTTCAATCAGGAAGCTTAGCGATAGGGATTAAATTGTTAAGAGTTCTGCGCTGAAATATCGATGATCTCACACTAAAGCTTATGAGGAAGCATTGTTGGAGTGGATAAAAGTGTAAATCAACCTTTATTGGTAGAAATTTATCAGTTCGGTGCTAACCTCTATATTTCCTTAGACTAACTATTCATTATTTGAAGATCTGACGATAGCTACTTTATCTTGGTCATATTTTTGTATACAAATGACAAACTTAAATCACTATTCCCCGATATCCTTGTACTTGTATGGTTCTCAAGTCTGAAAATTGTTGGAAATACAATCAGCTAGTGGGCATGAAGTTCAGTCCCTTGATTTTATTCATTTTGGTCAATCGTAATGAGTCAATAATACGGAAATCGTGATCTAGAGTTAACAACTCGATCACTAGTTCAGTATGCATTTCACCTAAACATAAATACTGTAGACACACACATAACAGTTACGGCTACAAAAGACAACTGAGATGAACGGCATCGGCGATGAGTAAATTCACTTTCATCAGTATATTTCAGTGCTCTAAAGTGCGTCCTGCACGTTACCATACTGAGTATTAAGAAGATTTGAAAATGAACCCAAATGGATATTTAAGAAGGTATATGATCAGTTTGATTATTTCGCAAATGTACAGTGCTGGTCAAGCTGCATAACTCGAATAGGTTGAACAACACGGAAGCTAGAAAGAAGAAGAACATTTCAAACCTATTTCATTCATGAAATGATGAATAAGTTAATTATATATCTATCTTCGGATATTGGTTAAATGGTTAGGTACCAAATACTTATTATGGTTCTGCAATACTATACAGAACTACATCTTATACTTCATACATGGGAAATGCGATGTTACACGGAATCCTCCTATTTACTGAGTGACTAACGTGTTTTTTTAAGGGACACTATTAGCTAGGTAGTGGAAATCAGTTAATCAGATTATGTATGTGTATAAACTGAGATTATTGTGAAATTTGTTATATATGAACCAACATCTTCAACTTAAAACGATGGATTTTAGTTGGTGGAGATTATAGGGAACCTGAAGCTTGTCAGTAAGAAACAGTGCCAATAATTGAAAACTTCGAGCTCCTAACTATGCAATATGAGAACATAAAAATATTCCAGTTGATGTTAATAAGATTAGCGAACCCAATAAAACAGGCAAAATGGTGAAAAATTAGATGTAATGTAGTGTAAATTTGCAACACAGTAATTATGTGTAATTCCATGCATCAATATAGGAGCAATAACTTATGTGTGAAGGTTTTGGGGAATGTCTGGTTCCCAAGACCTTAAGTAGGTGGAGAGGGGTTGGAAACCATGAAAATACAAAAACAAACAAGATTTTAATAACTGTTTTTTAGCAGTGAAAGCCAAGTAGAGAGATAAAATGTAGTTTTCACGATATTCAGAGTTCCGACGCCCTAAAACTCCTTACTTAACAAAAATAAGTGAGAACTATGCCAAATAATAAGGATATAAAGTCACTGATAATTAAAACAAACGTTATTCTCTAATCTGGCGTAAAGGACGAAAGTTAAACCAATCCATTATTTTACGCGCTAGGTAATAAATTAAAATTACTTGGAAGATAGGAATATGAACCTACAACCGACTGTTGAAAACCGTAATACTTATTTTCCTAGCTTTCATCTTGTAACCTTCTATCCCGGTATGTTAATATAGGGTATAGTAATCGCAACCGTTACACATTAACGTCATATCGAATATTGATGCTGACTGACTGATTTGTAATACTTGTATTCAAAAAAGAAAAGCAACAAACTATGGCATGTAACGAGTAGGCACATTTGATTATTAGGTTATCATTCAAGAATTTGATACTTGCAGAGAACGTAATTATACTCAATGACCAGCCTTGCGGATCCATTAACAAGAAAATCACAGTGCAGATGCAAAAGGTTTGATTAGCTTTTGTCAACCAACGCTACTTGAGATGTCAGAAAACAGAAGTTTGCTTCACTTTACTCTATAACTATGAAAGATGAAGATGTTTGTGATCCTTTATCGATTAACACGATTGCGATATGTGTTAAACAATCAGCGCCTACCTAAATTCGCTATACAAATCAAAGCAGGATTAATTCGGAAAAAAGCTGAGAGCTACCAAATAAGAACGTGGCATCAGTGCATGAAGTCTCTGACCGCTGGTCTGAGCTGTGTAGGGCAATGGTGACTACCAGATTGAAATCATGACCACGGAAATTGGTGGTTGGTAACTCTCGGTGATTTGGTTTAAAAACAACTTTTGGTAAAGATGCATCAACACATTATCTTCATCACACCACATTTCGTTGTCTAATTAACCCTTAACTATTTTGACTACATTTGTTCCTTCTATTTATGTATTTAGTCTTTATGTCATGTATTTTGGTGTACTAATGCGAATTAGGATGACTTGAAACGTTACGCAGTAATACCGAGTCCTATATTGATGTTGTAACAGACCCAAATTTTACAAATATTTTTTGATACTTTACCATAAAAGCTGGATTAGGCTTCATCATAAAAAGAATATAATTATCTTAGGTGACTATACTACCGAAAGTAAAAAGATTTAATCGTTAAATTCCACTTAATAAGCTTTTTTTTGTAGGTTGTATTTAATTTTATGTGAGTTGGCCAGTACAAATATACTTATGGAAATGGACAAAAATGATTGATCCAAAAATACCTGGCAAATTAAAACTTAAACCAGTTGTTCTACTAGATAGGAAGCTCTTTGGAGGATTTTTATGAATGACTTTCTTCGAAAAGGAAGGCTATCGTACGTGTATGTCAGTGAAGTCAAAATCTACTCAGCTATCTTGTGCACATTCATGAGGTAGGCAATGAGCTACACATAATATGTGAGGGCTAGTGATACTACTTGGCTGTTCAAACCATGGTAGGTGTAGCGGTGTTCGAACCTATGACCCAATGGTAGGAAGTCAACTCCCTAACTAAATTAATGAGCCATAACTTCACAACAGTGAAGTATGCAGAAACTGATCAATTTTCAGTGGAAAGTGAAAAAAAATGAAATAATTTCACTTTCTACACCAACTGTACCATCAACCATAGGATATGAAATAACGAATGATAGAAAGTGCTTGTTTAGAGACTTACAATATACTAATTTACGTCACTTGTAAATATGAAAGCAAAGAAGTATCAGCACTAGTCAGTTTACCATTTGAAAAATTAAATGACAATTTTATTTATATAGCGTGCCAATTATTTGTTAGTTGTGTAACTTTTTACGATGTTTTTGACATTTTGATGAGTAACAGAATTATATATGAATAAAAAGCTGTGTAACTGTATGTATGTATCAGAAGGCCTATTTAAACACAGGACTGTATACAGATATTACAGTACACCTTAAATGTCCGATAAATATTTGAATCAAATGTACATATCGTTTTAAATACCAAAGTATTTATGTGCTCAACCGTATACAAATGGTTTTAGGCGTAACATCACATACGAATCGATATTACTGAGTCCAGGTAGAATATACCTTACACATAGATAAACTACTCTATGGCAATGAATTTAATGCTAAAGGTGTATTGAAAGAGATACTAATTAGCGTAGACTCTTCGCAAACATTGAATGAGTTGTGCAACCAAAACCACACTACACCAACTCTCCATAAAGTATGACACGATCCAGTAGCCTTAACCTAGTCGTTAATAATAGTTAAAAAATAATTGTATGATCATGGTGATTACCTAAACATGAATAAATTTAGACATTAATAACTTCACTATCCAAATTTCAATCATTTTACATCAATATCACAGATGTGACACTAACAAGTTTGATTGATTCTACCCTATGGAAAATACCACTGAATGTTATAATATGTGAGAAATATTAAACAAAACAAAGCTTATTTTTTTGACAGCAAATAATCGCAATTTGGCAAAAAATTAGACCAAAAAAAAACAAACAAACAAAAACTCACATTTCCAAAGTGATTTAATTCACTTTTACCGTCAATAGCATAACCATCTGTAGTCTTCTTACCGGAACGTGGATGACGTGTTTTTGGAAATCCTTTCGATACTGATTTATCCTTTTATTAATAGAATATGAAAAAGGTAACAGTTAAAAATATATTGCTTATGGTTAGTGATAAAAAACGAAAAGAAACTGAAAAATAACAATTCTACAGTTTAGGAATTATCCAAGCGGAAATTATTCATCATCTATCTGTAGACTCGTGTACTAATTGAAACTGTTGATCTGACAAAAGTAAGTGAAGTGAGTCTGAATTCTAAAATCACTTGTGAAAATGCAGTTTACGAACAACTGAAATACAACGGTGAAATTTTACACTTTAAGCAAAGTCATGTTGTACTGAACACCTTCTGATGTAAATAAACATACACCAAATTGATCTTGGCTAAAAAAAATTATACTGTTTAATTTGTTTGTTCTGTTAATGTAAGTCATTGTTACAAAGTGAACAAACATTGTTAATCTTCGTAAAACACAGTGGTTCTGACAGACAAATGAAAAGTCATGTCGAATTTGACTTTTTTTTCATGACGTTCCAAAAAGTTGTAGGGATGGAGTTGTAGAAACAACTAAACAAACGGATCTAACTGAAATGTTTGTCGTTTAGTCAAATATGAGAAGTATATTTAAAAAAAAGAACGAGATAATGCACAAATGTAGGTTACCACATTGAGATTCACATGCTACCTGAAATTGGTGGATGGAAATTTTAGGTGATATGGTGCAAAAACAATCTCAGTGGTACACATGACCTTACATATTATATTCATCTGAATCACTATATTACATTTCCTTATTTGCATTATTTCCTCTTTTTCTCTTCGTATGACTTCCTCCCACTTTTGTATTCGGGGTTTGCATCTTGATTCTCTGATGTGAGCTGTGGTAACTTGGACCATTACTAGCGGTGTCAGATTTCATGCTGATATTGACTGATAAAGATTTGAAGCATTGTGACATTTCATGGAACAATTCTTATAAACAGCATAGCTCGTTGGGTTAAGGCAAAACAAAAATTCGGGTATAATGTTAATGTAGGAGCCCGTTTTTCAAAACACGGATAGATACCGATAAATATTTAAGTATTTCTTGAAAACTAATCAGCTATTTTTTTTCTAATTTGTTCAATTTAAATTTGTAGGGTAGAGAAAACTGAAGCCTAAAGAAAGCATATTAGAGCCGACTCGAACAGATGACCTTAGGATGACTAGTTCAATGACACTTAGATAGACGATAAAATTGAATTATTAAACGTAAATTAATGGGGGGAAAGAATCAATACATGAAAGCCCATCGTGAAAACATGGTTGTGTATATGAAGTTACTTATGATACACCTAAGGAGTGTATAACAGCAGTGACAGGGGTAAAGAAAAGCAATGCTATCAAAAACAAGAAAAGGAAAAACAATAAGCTTTTGAAACTGTGTTAACTAATTAGCGTATAGCATCAAAGAGAATAAGGAGTACGAAAAAGTCATCAGCAGAACACCAGTAATACTCACCGACTCATCAGGTTTCAATGAACCGGAGAAATGTACGCGTGCTGATGTAGACGTTGGCATAGATAATGATGAATGTGTAGACGAAGTAGATAGATTGTTGGTTTGATTAGGTGATGTATATGTGGGGTCTAAATTACCATTCACAGATGAAGTGAAAGTAGTTGTTGTTGTAGCTAGATAAGGCGATTTTTTATTACTGATAGCAGTAGATATTGAGCTCAGTTTTAGGGAGCTAGGATCATTTGTAATTGTAGAATTACCACTTAGTGTTGGCGAAGGTAAAATAGTAGAAGGTTTGATGGATTCATGACTTAAAGGTGAGATAGTTCGATCACTTGGAAGAGTTGGCTTAGAAGTTGAAATATGCATATCTGCAGGTTCGTAGGCTTGATTTACTTCTACACTGAGACCATCAGATAAATCATGGTTTGTTTTAGCATCAGGGTTCACTGATCCAGAATAACTTGCCAACTCAGATGGCGACACAGTCGGATCTAGAATAAATGCCGAAAACAAGAAAAGAAACGATTTTATGTGAAAATAAAATGAGATTTTATCGGTGGTTTTGAAGACCCAAGTAATTTCAAAAATTTGTTTCAGTTATGAGAAATATTGATTTTCAAAGCGTACTGTTAAGAAATGGGGATACCTAAATTGATGCATCATTGTAACTAGTTCCACATTTTTCCCCCTGTATCCGCATATAGAAAGTCAATTCAGTTAATGAACACAAAAGAGAACGGAACTGCTGAGCATCAATGTATTCTCACGTCAAATTATGAGATCTTAAAGGACACTGATGAAAATGAGTGAAGAGTAACTCAGTAATTCAGTTCAGATTTGAGCACTGAGGAATCAGCAAAACCTCATAACTCAAGGCTATCGACGCTACTTCATTTTAGTGGTCTCGGAAGGTAAAGTCTGAATCAATAGTCTGAACAGATCTGTAATTATTTGATGAATCCATTGCGTTTTTTTCACAGTATCCAGTCACATATATATAATTCAGGTAAAAGCTGAAAGTAAGAAGATAATACTCCAGGACATGCATCACTAAAGTAAACAGTTATCAAGTCAAAAATGTACTAAAAATTTAACAAGAATACTAAGGAATATCTTTTTTGATATGATTAATTATTACATATCGATTACAATTGGTTAAGGATATTTTCCGCAAAAAGTTCGAGAAAGAAAACGCAATAGACAAGTTAGAAAGAGATATACTAGGTTAACATGTTAAACATTATGTATAGATAAAATAGAGTATTTCTTATTATGATCTGATTGCCATAAGCTAATATGCAATTGAACAATTGTGATACAATGCAAACCCCTTCTGAGTGATATCTCATACTACAAACTTCTTACTGACCCGAACATTGACAAATACGAAGAAAGTAATTAAGAAGGACTAAAGTGATTTAATTGGAGAATCAGCTGATTACTATTATATTGAAACACAAAAATACAAGCATATTTACGGAGTGTTTTATGGGATGATCTAGATGGATTACCTCAAGATACTTAGCACAGTGCTGGTTACAAAATACCAGTTAAAATAACACTAGTACATAAAAAAGCGTAAGTTATATGTAACCTTCTTACTCTAGTCTCACTTGTATATCGCTATAATTTACAAAGAAGAGTAAAGATATCCTAAGATAACGACCGCGGTATGGTGTCGTAACAGAAATCAATTGAAATCAGTTAACTTGTGTAGCCATTTGCCTTCACATCAGGTTACTCACTTCATAGGTTAGAAGTGTGGAAAAATGCCAACAAAAAATAACATTCACATCATATCATATAAATATCCTGAAACTATGAGATGATCATAAGGCTCACATCAATTAGTTAGAAATTAGTTGTTCCACTATGAAACATAATACTGCATTGCCGATTTTGGAAAAAGTAGAGAATCTCAAGTGTAAAACAAAACTATTACGCAACAGTCATTGATTTCAACCAGTTTCTTAATTGCTCTTAATTAAGAATGAAAATTACCTTAAAAAACAGAGTTTAAATATGGGCGACTTTAAAGGCCGCCCTAGAAACTGTTCAAGATAACCAATTACATCCCTTGATTTATTGAAAAACTACTCTCTCAGACAGAATATCTTAACATGACTGGTCATTTCGGTAGTTGCTAGGGTGGCCTTTTAAATCACTCTTTAAATATACTATAAACTTTCCCTTCACAGTTTAGCTAGCAAATACTTTCATCAGTTCATTCACACTATCTAGATAAAAAACTACTTTTGTCTCTTGAAAGTTGAACAAGTGAAACAAACCGTAACTTTAATGACTACTTCACTTATATGTATTGTGAATTATAATATATTGATCATATAAGAACATATATCCTAAAATGAATGTGTCCTGAATAAAGGTAACTTTGTTGCCAATTGTCAACCACAAATTTTATTATTGATATGCACATACTTGCACACCAACTTGTGAGCAGTTGCTTAAATGTAAACCGAAAGGTAAATGCGCAAAAAATGGTTTAACCGTTCATCTACATGTGATATTCTATTGCCAGTATAGTATAGAGCATGTGAGAAAGAGTAATTCAAAATTTGCAGGGTAGACTAATACAAAATGTATGAAATCACAGATATGAAATTTAATGGCAACTTATTTTGAACTGAGTGACCATCAAACAGTAGTAGCTTAATCCATAGGTCTAAGATTACTGGATTTCTGATAATAAAATCAGTCCGGTCTATATAAGCTATGAAAATCTTTAGAGTAGGATATTCAAGATACCTATGTTAATTAAAGTACTTAAGGATAAGCAGTTCAAATTACGAAGTCATTATTGGTTCCAGCAACGTTATTCGGATATACCTTGCTGAATGTTAACAAGCAAAAATCTAGGTATGATATATTCTAGTGATTACATTCAAACACATCTAAATTCAGTTCTTTGGTCAAAAGAAAGAGAATAGAGCTACGAAATACACGATGACCTTGAGGCTAGTTATCATCCTATGAGCTATGTGTGGCAACAATGAGGTACTAAAAATCATAAATTGTTCTCGAGAAAGCTGCCTTTGAAAAGTTTACACTTTCAACTAAATCGAATTATTCCACTCCCCCAATGAGGCATGTCAAGCACATACCAACTTCTGTGGTGTGAGCAATCAGGAAATATCAATCATCACACTTCCAAGGAAATATAACAAACCCTCTGATCACCGGTAGTTTTCTCTAATCCCTTCCTTTTTATTGCTTCTCTTGCCAAACCTATATGCTCTACAATTTTCTCAGTTCTTTACTCCGAAATCACTGCTGATGATTCGATTCAACGAAAAACCACTAGTTTTTTCTCAAAGTACACTGACAACTCCTTATTGAGCTTTCTAAGTCATTATGATGCGATGAGTCTGATAACAGACATTGCTAGTCGAAACTCCTATCTCAAACTACGTATATATACTACTTCTGAAAAAAGTATAAGGAACCAAGTACAGTTATTTACTTGATCCCAAATGACCAGTACGGTTAATCAGTGCAATCCTTCTATTTAAAGTGTTTTGATATTAGTGGTTAGTTCCCGTGAACTTGGTAGTTAGCTAGTTTTTTTCAGTTGGCTATTGTGGAAATAGTTCACGTTTTAGAATAGGAAGTTGATTGAGTACTTACGTTAATGGCTGAAGTGTCTCAAAAAGAAGACCCAGAGGAGTTTGATAACAAAACACCTAATGGACTATGGGCATGATATTAATTATCTGTAAGTCTTTTACGGTTATTAGAAGCAGTAGAATAAGAAGTCGCTTGGAATAGCAGAAGCCTGTGCAATCCAAGTCGTCAAACTAAATCTGTGTATTCAGAATGAAATGCTAGTGAGCTTGAATCTAACATGGTAGGAATTTTAACGTCATCCACTTATTTCCAATCTCCCTTACTTGCTCTATGTCCCAAGCTATCACCTATATCTAATATTTTTGTTTTCCTTTCCCGATTTATTTCGCTTAATTAACGTCCATTCTTATTACAATTGTGATCACTATTATCATTATTATTATTCTCAGTATACATATGGTTTTATTTTACTATGTCACCTTAAGTGACCACATGTTCTGAATGACGTAATCTACATCAACCGACTAAATCACCACTTTTGTGTCACTACTATTATTTTGGGGGGGATTTATTGATTCCAAGTTGGTATTCATAATAGGCTGACATCAGTTAAAGAAACATTTGAAACCTGAGAGCAATGGATAGCTGTCTCATCCTAGTATGTGAGTGCTCAGGAGTGCGCACCCATAACCCTACTCCGCAAGAGATCGAATCTTCAGTTTCCGCGGCTAGCACGTTTCTATGGAGCCGCTGGGTCGCAATTCAATGGTCCATATTTCCTACTTCTGTGGGTTCACGACATATAGCACGACCACCACTCAATGTCATCGTCGAGTATTTGTCCTCATGTTCACACGGTTTGCCCCACCGGTCACGACTTCTCCAATGATGTCAGTTTATGATGAACAAGAATTTGGAATCAACAAATCCCCTCAAAAACCCTCAAATTGAATCTAGTGCTCATCAACGACTGACTGAAAAGTGATTCCTGAAGTTTAAATGAGAAGTTGTGACCAGTGGGGTGAACCGAGTGGACATGAGACAAACACTCAACGATGACATTGGATGATGGTCGCGCTATATCGTTAACTGACAGAAGTAGGAAGTACGGACCATTGGATTTCGACCCAGTGGCTCAGTGGTAACGTGCTGGCCGCGGGACCTGAAGGGCATGGGTCCGGTCCCTGGCAGAGTGGGGGTCATAGGTGCGCACTGCTGAGGAGTCCCATACCAGGATGAAACGCTGTCTAGTGCTCCCGGGTTACCAATGTTTTTTTAACTGATGTTTGTTCATGGTGAATACCACCTCGGAACACGACATAATCGAACACTGTCGTTTTCAATTAGATCCCCATTTAGGCTTTAATATACACAGCCAAATATTTGCTAAAACCAAAAGCAGTCCACAGATTTGTCGATTCATGAAAAATGTTTTAAGAATAACGATGATTAAAATTATCATTATTATTTTCTTACCGGGAACCCACATTACGTTTTAAACTGCACTACTATCCAAACTCATAATTAATTGCGTAACCTATCTTCGTTTCTACGTTGTCACACCTGAATTGATGTCTCAGTCAACGTTATTTATAGGTATGTTCTTTTGCGCTGGATAATGGTAAATATAATCAAATACGTAGAGTATCCAGCAGACGCGTACTACTGAAATTTATAAATTCATTACATCCTGCTTCTTTTACATTCGTTGCTTCTTTCAGATCAAAGAATAGTTTCTGCTCTTTTGGAATAAGCCCTGAACAAAGACTAGACATTAGTCCGACGAGTTTACAAGTGAAATGAAGTTATGAAGCCTATCTGTGTCCGCATTCAAGAACAGAACATCAGGTATTTATTAGATCAGAAAATAACTAGGCACTCATTTGAACATGTTACAGATTCCAGTTCTGACTCATATAAAGATGTTTAGGTTACAAGGGAGTACAACTGACTCTGGTATAATATATCCGGTTTATTAATCACTATATAACTGTAAGTGACATCACTATTAGTGAGGTTTGAGTTATGTAAGGAAGTGTAGGCTACCTCTGATTAGGGTCCTTGAGATATCAGCATTCGGTGACTGGAACTCCGGTAGCACATAAAAATGATACAAATGCATAGCATTCGACCACTTTACCTATCATCCTCTCCTTTTATACGCCTTATTTATTTCTTTATTATTTCTGTTCTATCCACCTCTGTTTTGGGGTTGTTGTAGTGTGGTAAGTTGAAGTGATGGACTTTAATGCAAGACCCTGCATCAATCTCTGTCTGTGTTCAATTTAGACAAAATTTATACTATCTTCCTGATAATTACTGGCAAATTTGGTCACATTTAGCTCTAGTACACTACAGGACTAATGAAATAGCTAAAATAAAATGTCTGTATACTAATTAGTATACAGGAAAAGAAGAATCCGGTAGTAAAATGTTTGCCTGAAAAAATTCAACCATTCTATATGGTCCGTGCTTTCAGTAGAATAACTTATCAACAAAAAAACATGATGTGATAGATGCTTCATAAAGAAAGTTAGAGGTGATAAATATGTTTTTTTACTAAAAGTTGTTGCATTTTAAAGAAAGGGAATAAGTCACTGAGGGAAAACGAGTGAGTACCAGTAGCAGTAAATAGCTAGACACAAAAGACAAGGGTAATATGTTAAGAAGCAGTTGTGTATTTGCATGTAAAAGGAAATTAGATTCACAGACGAAATATTTAAGCGAAAAAAAAAACTTACCTGTTTCAATACGTGAATCTAATTGTTCTTGAGGGAGTAAATAGCAAGTAAGATATTCTTCATGTGAAATAGGATCTACATCTTTCAGAAGTGTAACAACTGGTTGAGATTGATTTTGCGATAGCCATAAAGCTGTTAATGAGCACCCTGATAAACTGATTGGTAAACGATCAAGTCTACAAAATAATAAGAAAATTAGGTGAATAAAGTAAGTGATTGATATATAGAACAATGAACAGTGGTAACTTGAAATAAGATGTTAATCATAGTTTGAAACAATAAATAGTGAACTCAATAAAGAACCGCTTTAAATTACGACAAATAACATTGTATTAGACAACTGTTTCTTAAACGCATGTAGGATTTCACTTACAGTCGACGTCCATTTGCTACAAAGTTTTGAACTTATTCGATGACTAATTTACAACATCCTATGTCAAAAAAGACAGACCTCCACCGTTTACGATGGTCTTTCCATCCTATTAACACATTCCAGATGGTCCCATATGCTGAGAAAGCAGGTGGCATACTCTACTTAGTATATCTAACACTGAACTCCATCGATGTAAATTACTGATCAAACTCAACTTCAAAACTGCTCATTTGATCGTCTCATATATATAAACATGATGTTCAGATTTTTTTTCCGCCTGCAACACATTTCCTTGGCACAGGAAACAGTATACTGCCGCACTGTATATTTAGTCGTAAATAGATGTATGCATGTCTACAGCACAATACTTAATGTATTGTGCTTAACGAATCTTCAGCAATAATGATGATATTGAGGTTATCTCTCAAGTTTATCAGGGTTGATCTATTTGAAATATTGTGATTAGACAGTGAATTTTATCTCAAAAATACATTAGACATGCGCAATGCATTTCGAATAATCTGATTACACGATTATCCATAAAAAAAGAAAATGGAAGGTTGGTGAAAGCAATGAAAAGAGGAGGAGATTTGAGAAAAAATACTATCAGCATCTTTTTGATTATACGTCCTTACCGATTACTTCAACTATTAGAAATGAGTCTTTGACATTACATACTGACAAGATCCACTTCATATCTGAACATCTGAACACTTTCAACAAATTGAAAGTGTTGCTATGGTAATTCTTCCAGGGCTGTTACTAACTTATGTGTATACAATATATGCCCTAAACATATTTTTCACTATAAACCTTAAACTGTTTAGATGATAGCTTCAGATTCTGCTGTTAATTAGTTAACAGATGCAGTGTATGTGTGTGCGAACGTATCTGCAGATATGTACAAAAACAGAGGAGCAATCGAACTAAGCAGTTGAGAGTGGGTATAGTTGTCATTAAAAAACTTCAAAAACAGCTGAACTCCCAGACTTGAATAAGTGCAAGTAGCTCATATCCTCATTCGCTCATTGTTACGATGCCTAAGTTTTGTACAAAACATTGTTATTGATCTGAACATTTTAAGGTGTCATTCCCACACCAATGGCGGATAAGGTCATTCTCATGTGTATGCTTATTCACGTGTTTTGGATTGATTGTGATTATTTTAAAACGCTGGACGATGAACTTTTTCTTAGCAATAAACCCTCCCATCTGCCAGCTCCGGTCTTCTCTCTATTTATCCGGCGGTTGCAGTCAGTGGCTCTTGCGTACTAAGTTAGCTGTCAGCTAAGCGTGCGTATTATATCTTTCGGTATATATAACCATTAGCGTTCAAAAGTGTAACACTCATAACCAAACATATTACAGATATGCGTAACAGATTTAATTATGAAACAAACCCCAAGCTTAAACACAACCGAATAAATAAAGGTTAAGAGTTCATAATTCCTATTGTGACATCCAAAACACAAAGAATCATGGGAGATAAAAAATAAAATGACAAAAATAATGGTTACCAACGGTAAATTATCCTCCTACATAGGCCACGTCCATGTGCATCTACCAGTTCACCTGCCATTGTGGTGATTTAACTGAAGCCATAGATTGGTACCAGTACACATACGACAGAGTATTTGAACCGGGTTTTTTAAGGGTGAAAGGAAGCTTTATCCTTGAATACTTGATCGATTTCACGCATTCCACTGACCAAAATAATAATTTTAAGGTTATTTATCGAACTCGCTCACGTTTCCTAAATTTCCAACTTCTAGAAACAGTAGAGATCTAGGTTATTCATAAACTGAAGCCTGACCTAAGCGTGGAATGAAAGAACGTACAATATTTTCCTTATATTCCCCTTAACTTGATCTGCTTCATTTCATTTTTTTTGACTTATCCCTTTGTTAGATTAATCTCTGGACTCTTCTTTCATTATCACTATCAATTCTAAGCTGAACAGTTTTAGGTGTTACTTTATTTAATCTTGCAAACAAATGTAATTCTTAACAATTAACTAGTCTCTTTCAGGACTTCCTGTCGATTGCCTCCAAAAAGCTAACATCCATCAAAGTGCACCACAGTAATCAGACTCCTCTTTGCTGAATTTCTGGGTTTTTCATACTGAGATTTTCTCAATCGATAGTCATAGGCTGGACGAAACCACCAATAAGAGAGTAGAACTTGAACACCATAGCAAAGTATAATTTAACGTTGGTTAGTTTGTCAGACATATCACACCATGAGACAGTATGATTTATCAGTAGCTAATATTCATATCACGGTAACCCCACAACTTTTCGTTCAGCTTTTATTATTCTAGTCCCTTAACTTTTATTGTCTCAAGAGGAAGGAAAGGACTAGGAGAAATCAGGATACGTTTTATCATACAGCAATGACAGGTTTACAGAAATGTATGTTTTAGCAACTGAAATATGTTACCCTAAAACATACATAACATAGTGAACAAGGTTCATCGGTTCTTTAAAGGGGATTCAGAAAACGTTTGGTTACTATTATACAGGTGGGTAAAAGAAATATTTGTCCAAAAGTATACAGTGAACTAAAGTCATAAATACATAATAAATCCCGAAAACTGAGACCGGTTGGTGTAGTATACAGTTATTAAAGTACACCGTATGTACGACTATAATACTTGCAACAGGTGCTTAGTCATTCCTATGGGATGTATTTAGTGTTGATTTGATAAACAAAATTCGATCACTAGCCTCTCCTTTCATCCATCTAAGATAGCTTCTAGGATCATCAGTCTGTTTAATGTAGGGTTGTATAGTCTATATAGTCTATAGTTTGCCAGTTACCATGATATGATTAAGGACATCAAGTAACTGTTTCATTGTGCGGTATAGTTTATAAGCAAATTAAAATAAACTATATAGATAAAAGCTTGTAATTCATACCAACAAACAAATATAAACCTACCTATTCCCAGAAACATCCAACACTCGTAAACGTGTACAATTACCAATTTCACTTGGTAGTCTACGCAGATTATTCTCTCGGAGAGATAGAATGTTTAGTGATATACACTGGCCAATCTATGTACAAGGATAGGAAGTGAAATAGAATTAGAAGTAGATAAGAAAAGAGAAATCTGTAAACAAAATACAGAAAACCTCATTTAATTAGGACACAGAAAAAAAACGTAATAAACTGAGTTCCATATTGATCTAATCAATTTACTAAGTTATTCAGATAGGAATATTCTACAAATATCAACAAGATGGTAAGAAATACATATTTACATAGTCCTCTTAGTTGTTGTGGTTGTCACTAATATTATCTGTTTACAGGTACTTTGACAAGCTGTGAAATCCGATGAAGTAAAAATATGCAAAGCAAACTGCTAAACATCCGAAATTGGCTAATCTATAATCACTACTATCAAGTTACTGACTAAAATTCATTGGTTCAACATAGTAGCATATAATTATAAAAAAACAAAGTACGTGTAACTATATATACATACATCACCGTAAATGTAGCACGTATCATTTATTACTTTAAGCAATGTATTCAAAAAACTGAACAAACATGTAGCAGAGTTTAAGTAGACAGTTCAGTGATATTAGTAAACCACTTTCAGCTGTCAACAGAAAACAAAATACTGAAATAGTAAGCGTTTCGCAGTATCAACTCACTCGAAAAAAATAATTACACTTACTGTTGCAATGAAAACATCTGGAGTAATAAGCATAAGCAGCACTTACAGTAGGTTGATATCTGTGTTATGCAAACTAAATTACAACCTTCTTTGTAGTAAGAAGACAGATCAGAAAAAGTTTGGTTGAAAACATCGCAGAGTCATCAGAGGTAGACATAAGAGACAGTGATAAATTATCAAGAGATGGGATAGATGAATAGATGTCCAAGCTGTCATACCTCATGTCAGTACATCAAGATAAAAGATAACAAAACAAAAGACAAAGGAACAGAAGAGGGAAAAACGTAGTACACAAGAAGATATTATTATTATATTTCTGTTACTCCCTTGGGTTCCTAATGGAACATAAGGCTTCAGTAGCACGTCTCCATTCCACTTTCTTCTCTGAAATCTTTTCAACCTGGTTTCACGACAGCCCACAACCTCTCATTTCCTCCTCGCACGATCTCCTCCATGTCACCCTCGACTCAGACACCCAACTCGTCGCTTCCCAAATGGGTTCCACTCGAGTGACTGGCCTGACGCGTGATGTCCCCAGTCGGCCTTCTCAGTGTATGCCCAATCCATCTCCACTTCCATTTGAATATTTGTTGGGTGATAGGTTCTTGGTTGGTTCGTTCCCACAACTCCTTGTTGCTTATTCTTTCTGGCAATCCATCTGATCTTCAGTAGCGAGCGTGAGCAGTTGTTGATGAATGTCTATAGTTTATTGGAAACCCCTTTCGTAACGCGCCAAGTCTCTCAACCATCACACAGAAGCACTGACTTGACGTTGGTGTTGAAAGTCCGGATCTTGTTCCACATGCTGAGTACAGAAGATCTCAACAATGGTTTCAGGCTAATGAACGCCTGTCTCACTTTTCCGATCCTGGCTGGCTTTGACGTCCTCGTCTGTACCTGTGCCGCCTGTAGTTGAAACAGTGCTTCCTAGATAAGTGAAGGAGGTTACTTCCTTTAAGCTTCTCCCGTTCATGGTGACTGGAGTTTGTTGTTGTTGTTATTGGAGTTGTTGGTGCGGTATCTTCATCACCTCTGTCTTCTCTATATTCACTTGAAGTCCCGTCTTCGCTGCCCTGCCTCTTCTGTCAACTTGTTACTTTTCGCCTGTAGATCTTCAAGTTTGTATGACATCAGGCACAAGTCATCATTGGCGAAATACAAGTCTCTAGGCTTTTTTCATCAGTCCAGCGTATCCCCCTCTTCTCGCTCGTCACAGTATGCTGCACAATCCAGTCTAGTCGACCACAATCAGGAATATCATGGGGGATAGTAGGCAACCTTGTTTCACTCCTGTCTTCACTTCAAAAGCATTACTGAGCTTCCCATTGTGAATTACTTGGCTGGTATGTGGCATCTTCACACAGTTGTTGAATGAGGCGGATAAAGGTTTGTGGTATTCCGTAGTATTGAAGCAGTTTCCAAATTACTTCTCGGTTGACGCTGTCAAAGGCCTTCTCAAAGTCGATAAAGTTGAGGAAGAGAGTCGACTGCCATTCTATACTCTGTTCTTGATGATGCGAAGTGCAGCGTTGGCATTTGGTCCGCACATGATTTGTACTTCCTGAATCCAGCTAGCCTGTTCCGGTAGTAGTTTTGAATCTAGCGCATCTTTTAGCCTCTCCAGGATGATGCGGCTTAATATTTTGCTCGCTACGGGTGGACAGTAGAGTGATTCCGCGCCAGTTCTTGCAAACACTGAGGTCTCCCTTCTTCGGCAGTTTCACAAGGTAACCCTTCTTCCAATCATTAACCAGGTACCTTCCCTTCCTTCCACACCTTCTGCAATGGTGGTGTGGTGTGAGCATGTCCGCTGTTGTCTCTGCGTCTGTTCTCAGTGCTTCCGGCGGGATCCCGTCTGGTCCTGCTGCTTTCCCACATTTCAGTAGCTTTATAGCTTTCAGGACTTCGACTTTTGTTGGAGGATTTGTGTTCACTTGTAGCTCAGCGGCTGTAGGTGGTATTTCTGGACGAAGTGCAGGTGGTGGTGGTGGTCGATTCAAGTGCTTCTTGAAGTGGTCAACCCATCGTTTCCTTTGTTTCTCTTCTTTCGTAATTAAATTTCTGTCATCATCTTCTATTGGTTTCGTCGCTAAAGAAACTTCAAAGCACAAACGAAATATAAAAAATAATAACAAAATTATTCCCCGCTGGAATCGGAGAGGCGAAATGACACCAGTTGGTGAAAGCCTTCGGGAAGCCAATTGGCAGATGTGTCTTCTCTCGATGAAAGCGAAAGTAAACGTGAAGACATGGAATGTCCGCACCATGTTTGAACCCAGCAAGGCAGCCCAGATTGCAAGGGAGATGAAGAGGTATCACATCGAAGTGCTTGGAATTTGCGAAAGCAGATGGAATGGGAGTGGACTCTCTAAACTGTCAACTGGAGAATCAATAATCTCCTCCTGTCACCCAGACGACAACCACGAGCACGAGGAGATATAGCTTAGGCAAGTCACGAAATGTGATGTGACGATTACGATGAAGACAATGTATGGATAAATCTGCATTACTGAGTCATATCGCCTAGAGACTACAACTACCAGTTTCTATTGTTGTGCGAAAACCAACCTTGAAGTCTACATTTCCCTACACGACTCAGGCCAGTAATTTAACAGTCAAGGCACACAAAAGTCTTCTGATTGTCAGTAACCCTCGTATCCTTTTTCCTTCGTTGTCACTATATTATCTTATAATGGTTCCGAAGCCAATGTAGTCTTTCACAGCAAAAATTACTAGCAACTCGTGTCAACGGGACATGATTTCTAGGCTCCTAAGTTAGCAATCATAGTGTGGAATCTTGTCTTGATAATCATTTTAAGTATAATCGCAATTATACTAAAACTATACCCGTCACACAAAAGTGGCTATCGTGGCTCGGTGGTCTAGTAGATAACTCACTGGCGTTTGGAGCGGTCGGTCCCGAGTTCGAGTCCCAGTGGGAACAACACACGGGTGCAGGTGCATCCAGCTGACGGGTCCCAAATAAGATGAAGTGCGTATCTTAGATTCCACTGCTAGCCACTACCGTGACATCTCTTGGTCAAGAAAAGTTACTTGAACCGGTCAGTAAATTTATTGTTATGAATCCAAAAATTCAGATTTCCCTAAATAAACAAGGGAAACTATAGACCAACAAGATTAACCATTATAAAGAGTATATAAATATTTGGATATTGGTTACCAGTTACATATTTCGCCCTACTGAAGATGAAATGTAGTGCCTCTCTTGTCCGAAAGTAAAACCAATTCCTTAAAATAACTAGTCTTTCATTTAGTAGATGAAAATAGTCGACGCCTTTTGTGACAAGAGTTCCTTTAAGGATGTCTTGAATGACTGTATGGAAGGTTACTGCAGGAAAAAGATACATTTATCATAAGTAATAAAGTTATATCATATACATACAGGCCCTAGAAACAACAGGAAAAAATTGACACAAACAGGTTCAAAATATCATACTTGTGTAGGCAATTCAGTCAGTTGATTTTGGTCAACATTCAGATGAAACATAGCAGTCAAATCACCGATGGACCCAGGAAGTGTCTGAAATATATTTTAAAGAAAGTTTTGGAAATACGTCAATAAACACTATCCAATGATAAACAAGATTAGATTTAAAATTAATCCAGATGAAATTCGTGCAGTTAATTATCATTATATTATTATGTTCAGCTAACTTTCTAACAGCAGGGAAATCACAAATGCCAGTTGGTTGAAGGCAATCAGCAGGAATCCCTAAGTCTTGATTTTGTGCTTGTTGGCACTCATCAGTAAGTCATATCTACAACCTCGACGGAACTGATGTCTCGCCTGGGATCCAAACCCGCATCACCCCGTGTTGTAGTCAGTGACCTTACCACTGAGCTATTCCGTCCGTGACTGACCTCCTGTAGAACTGGGTTATATGTACTGATTGGTCATGAGAGTGCAACTAATTTAATAATAATCGCTTTATTCCAAACAATACGTATGACGGTATAGAATTTTCAGCATGTAATTTTTCAACAAATTTACTCCCAGAACAATACTTTCAGACGAAACAGTTATTACATAAGAAAGATGTTAATAATAACAGTATTCAAGGCAATAATGTGAAACAGCTAGCTGGTTCTGGCTTCCGGTCCATAATGAAGAATCAACAGAAATGCAAGCGTAATTTTGGTGGTGACGGTTGATTCAAACGGTACAAAAATCTGCAGCTCAAGCTAAGCGTCTGACGGATAGAAATACAATGTACTTTTTGCACCGAAAAGTCCATTTCCATATAACGTAACATTTTATCTCTGCTTTGTTACTGACTCGAGAAACGGAAAGTTGGAAACAGTTTAAAAATATGCAAGAGTACATGATACGTTCAAAGAACATATTTAAATGATTAAAATAAATTGAAAAGAAAGAATTTGATAAAAAATGTTCGATGTTTCATGTTGTCTTGTCCTGAGCGCAGACAGAGTCCTATCGATCAAGTTTCGGTCTGCACTCAGCACTAGACAACATGAAATTGGTTGCAGTCCTATAACCAATCAATACATATAATCCAGTTTTACAGGAAGTCAGTCACGGACGGAATAGCTCAGTGGTAAGGTCACTGACTACAACACGGGGTGATGCGGGTTTGGATCCCAGGCGAGACATCAGTTCCGTCGAGGTTGAAGATTTGACTTGCTGACGAGTGCCAACAAGCACGAAAGTGAGGTTCAGGGATTCCTGTCGACTGCCTGCAAACAACTAACATCTACTAGTGTGAACAGCAATGCTGAGCCTCCTAGCTTGGTGGCCACATTGCAAATACGATCGATAGGATTCGATCTGCACTCAGAACTAGACAACATGAAATTGGTTGCACTCCCATGACCAATCAATACACAATACAAATGCATTATTCGAGTGACAGATAGAATGATAAGAAAAACTTCCAATATTCGATATATGAGTTTTTCACTTTAGCTAGTGTTAAAATCACATGAGAGAAAGTTTTCACCAACGACTGGTAATGACTAAAGGACTATTGCAAATAAGAAAGTTTTCTCTTAAAAATTTTGAGCGTCTATGACTCACTGGAATATTAAAGTAATGAAATTCAGATATAATGAAGCACAAGCTATAATTTAATTACGAGACATCTGTCCTAAAGCGACTCACTTCCTAAAAGCGCATTATTCAATTATACAAACCATATAAGATTGTGATTGGTTGGTTAAATCATTTCAAGATAAATTTCACCACAAGCCATTGGGAAGTTCCGATTTTAGGATAACACCTAATAACGCATAAAACTACTTCATTTTATTTGAGTTAAAAGCTTGAAGCAGAAAACAAGGCCGAGATATTGACGGTTTCGAAAAATAGTAACAATTTAGATAAGTACTGAATGACTTAAATATACACTAGAGTTTTACCTATCAACTTTCTACTTTCAGTCAATACTGTATATTTAGTTGGGTTGCTGTTAAGTAACTATTTACAAAACAAAATGAACTTTATTGCCTTAAGCGACTGACTTTATAGAAATGGGTCTCAGGTTTGAAACCGCACCAACTACTTCGGTTTGAGCAGTTGGGTCGTATCAGAAGTCTTCATACAACAAACATGGCTAATAGTCTGGGGAAATAAAGCCATATCCGATTGAACTACATTATAACGATTGCATACAGATCGACAAAATCAATGTAGAATCTCACAAACAAGTCCGTCGGTCCAAGTTGTCACACTCCACAGTAGTATACAAATAACAAGTAGACAGAAAAAGAGTGATACCAATCGGAAGATAAACGTTAGTGCGAATAATCAAGCTTTAGAAGGAATCAAATGATGAATACATCTACGTCACTGTGTTAGATTTTCAGCTATGTTACCAAGAGTTTTCAACCACTTATTCTTATCGTTTCGCGGACCGCAACCAGGCAGTCGATATCGCCTTATACATATGGCTCAGACCAACAGTCAGAGACTGTCTGCACTGCTGCCGTATCATAGTCTGGCCACCCGGAGCTCTGCTTTTCCCAACAAAACCCAACTTCCCTAAGCACAGCACTATATGGTTAGAATACTCAAGGCTTGGGAGTTTTAGTTGTAGTAGCAGTTCTACATTTCCCCACTTCACGCTCTCAGAGTTGCACCAAGAATACCATCTATGGCAAAGTTACGAGGGAACGGCGATACCGGGCAACCCCAAATCAGGTGTAGAACAACGAAGAAAGGTGAAGGTACAATTATATCAGGTTTGTGAATTGGAATCGGAATTCCCAGGAGCACCCCTTTAACAGGCAATTTCAGACCACAGTCCTATTTAACAGACAGTAGGTAGTCTCAATGTCAGATGACAACCATCAACCTGTAGTGTGACAGCGTTCAGGAATCTATTGGAAGACGAGTGTATGGTTCTACACCCTACAAATGAATCGTCTGACTGACTGCAAGGTGGCCACCATCCTTAGAAATACCAGAGGTAGGAGTTTGGCTAAATGATTTAAAGAGTGGTAATACTCTAATCCAACCATGAAGTGCAATCGGTTGATGTCAATGTGTGTTGGTGCGATTTTCTTATCCTAATACACTGAGCGTTTAAAAAGCTACCATGAGAAGTAATAATTACTCAAATTATATCTTGTCATAATAGACAGCGGATATTTACCAGTTTGTCATACTGCCACCTCAGTAGTTTGAACTTGGTTGGGAAATATTTAACACAGAAAACCTGAGAACACTGGACAGCTGTTTCGTCCTAGCATGGGACTACTCAGCAGTGCGCACCCACGATCCCACCCCATCAGGGATCGAACCCAGGACTTACGGGTTGCGCGGCCAGCACGTTACCATTGAGCCACATCTGAATAGTTGAAATGCATATGTCAAAAACCCTGATATTGATTTTTAAGCATGACAATGCATCATTGATCCATACTGTAGAAAATAAAATGATGTGTTGACCAATACAGATAGATAATCCGATTGAATATCTTAACTTTTTTGCTGACTGAAAATAATCATTACAGTTTATCGCAGCAAAGAAATGAAAGTCATACAATCATATGACGGTTATCATTCTATGCAAATTAAAAAAAAGAGCAACCAGTAATTTAGCTTTTTAGTGAATTACTAAACAGATCAAAATGGGTCACCTGTTCTGATCAGTTATTGAAGAAGGCAAAATAAACACGTAGCAGTTACGTATTATTAAACTGGTATCTCAACATCTCAGTTACAAACAAAAATTTGATCGATGACTAAATTTCATATACATCCATTCCAACAAAGGAGTACTAATATACGAAACGACGAAGAATGAGACAGGGACGTGTGTATCATGACATTTTGTACAGTACTAATGAAATATTGTACATTTTCCACTAAAATAGTCATTTTCACAATGAGATTCATTTCCTCCTCTTCTTCTACCTTGATTTGCTTTTAATATGCCCACATTGCTTCTTGAGTTTCTCCGGGCAAAATATTTACCCTTGCTAATAATTGTCTATGACTTCTGCCAACCTCTCAACATATACCACTTATACTGGGTGATGGTTGAAGGTGAGCTGAAAATTTGGACCGCAGCCGGATTCAAACTAGTAACCACAGGGTTTCCGGTCCGATGCTCTACCAACTGAGTAGATAGTCAAATGATAATCAATGTGATGCTTCCCCTCTCTGATTCAGTTAGATTTGGATTTGGATGGGAAGTCCTGACTAGGGACCCAGTGTGAATACGATCAAGCGGTAGTAACACATCACCAATTTACATGGTAGTCAGGCTAACCCCTGCCTTGTGATTGGAGTGAAATAAAAATCTGGTCAACAGTCGGACCTTGTAGCTTAGTTGGTAGAGCATCGGGCCGGAAACCCGGTGGTCGCTGGTTCAGATCCGGTCGTGGTCCAAATTTTCATCTCACCTTCAATCATCACCTAGTATAAATACTAGTCTGCCAAACCACAGCTATCTCAAATAGTCAGATGGTATACTACTCTTATCCATTCTTATCAGTAGATAGTAGAGGTCCAAGTACTAGGCTACAGCCTTATCAACTATTTCAACCAGTCTTATTGCCGAAGTAAGTTGGGTAAGGTTTGAACCAAGATCAATTGCCTGAAAACTGTGTTCTACTAAATGAATCGTACTTCTACTGTTAGTGTTAGACGCTACATTTTATAAAGCATTAATCAATGATTTTAGAGGCTAATTTATTAACCAAAGAAATAGCTAAGAAAGGTGTTTTTTCTATTTCGGTCGAAAAGATAGTTTTATCATGAAATAAAGAGAAATCTAAGTGTCTATTTTAGAAGTTGCTCGGATGGTTTTTAAAGTCACTGGGAAGTATTTTGATAAAGGTATCAAAACTAGGCAATCCTCGCCGAGTAAACTGAATACATTGAAATGACCTGCTAAAAATTAATATTGCTATCACATTAGAGACTATAAGTATTGACTCGAATGCCCAATTGACACCAGTATAACTTGTGGAGTTAGCTTTTCTTAAAAAGCTATTTACAGTTATTTAAGCTTATTTCAATAATCCTCTATCATTATTCAAACAAATAAAAACTATAGGCAGAATACTGAGAAAGACCCTCAACAAAAGTAGATCACCTCAAGTCAATACATCAACAAAATGAATAAAAAACATTAAAAATCATTTTTAAGCATAGGTCAGACTACAAGGAAACAAATAAACAAATTTGAGCTGATTTTACTGAACATGACAGATGTTTTGAAGATACCTATGATAAAATGCCAACAGTTTCTGCCTAACATATGCCATTAATAAGTAACGATAAAGACTGTTTTACTAATGATGATAAGCGAATAGGCGAATTAGGATGGTAAGCAAATCAGTAGAGAAGAATTGTTATCACACTGGTTTACTAAAAATCTAAATAAAAACAGTAAAAGTAGAATACCACTCTGCCAATCAACTATAATAGTGAGTCAATATTAAACGAATTCTGTCATGCTAATAACACTGAAGGCTAGTCTGAAGGATAATAATACCTGAGATCAACTGTTGAAGTACATGAAAAATGAGATATGAAAAACGACTAGAAAAAAAAGGATTGGAAAAGAGAGACGCATTTTTCTTGTATCGGTTATTTAAGCGCAAATTTAAGTCTATAATTCAGTGACATTTTTATCATACAGTAAACCTGTAAAAGGAAATCGTATTATTAAGACGGATAACAAAGTCTTATTTATCAACATACACAAGTAGTACTACTTGTGAGGTGAGATTAGTTTGTTAATTTCTCCGGATGCATATTTACAGAATTATTTCGCTAAGCCAACAGGATCTACAGACAAGAGGTCTAGAAGTATTGGATCCTAATTCAAATGCTACTACAGACTTATCTTACGAGATATCAGCAAAATCATTATCAACACATACTTACAGATAGAAAATTTTCAGTCAAGTATAATTCTTGTAAACCTGAGCAGCTAAAATGAAAACAGAAAAATGAATTATTAATATTAGAAATTTGCAAGACATAAATGGTATATGTGAATATAAATATTTGGCAGCAGGGGACATGAAAAGTCAATTATTACTACTTAACTACATAAAAAAAATAATGAGGAAATGTATCGACTAAATGATAATTATTTTCTTACGATAAAAAACGAATTTGATTTTCAGAAGGTTGACAGTAATTATTTATGTAATAATTAACTTTTAGCAAGGCTAAGTTTAATCTAGGTTAAACTGGTTATTTTTCTGCGACAAAGTTGTAAAGATAGTACTTAGAAATGAAGCAATTGGTCAGTTAACCTTCAGAAATTAATTCAACTACCCTCCAATTCAACTAGTCACGAGTTTAAAACTCCCTTTGCCTGGTATCACAAGCAAGTGAGGCTTCAAAGCTTAGCAGTGAAATTGTCGTTTGCTGGTAGAAACCAAGCATGTTTTGAATCCTTTGACATAACGGCAACATAGAATACTTTAGTATACGGATTATTTCATGTAGATAGATTCGTTTATCTATAGAGGTCATTTAGAAATTTACCTAAAACACTGAAAATGCTAAAATGGGAAAAAAGGGAAAATAGAGTGGATAGTGTAGAAGACCAGAATAGGGAGAAACAGCAAGGGTTGCAAAATTGTTAGATTAGTGTTGGTCGTATTGTGTTCTCTGAGCTGGGTTGTTTAATCGTGGAGCTTTCATTGTCTTTTTAGACGACAGCACTAGCTTCAACATGAAGTGATCTGCCAATATTTTTCTATGAGTGATTTAGTAGCTTGGTCTGACGAACTGGTTTGTGATTAGTTGTTTCCTTCGACTGTTGTGTCATTGACTGAGTCGGTTTTCCTGTTGGGTGTTCCTCTTTTTGACCTTTGACCTTTTTGCTGCTGATCTATTGGTTGATAGGTTGGGACTACGTCTATACATTTATTGACCGCTGACTGACCTGAATGCCAAGTTCCTAGGAATTTTCAGATATTCTTTGTTTCCTCTTCCCAAGATTTGTACATTGTCAAAATGGAATTTATGTTCACAGTTATCCACGTGCATTGGAATGAGCGATGAAATGTCGATCCAATATGGATAGCAACTCTGATCGCTTAGTTTCCCTGGACGGTATACTTTCATAAGATATAATGTCAACTCCCTGGATCTGCGAACATTCCAAACTAATCATATTACTCATAAGTTTCTAGAAAAGGTGTAGGACCGTGCTTGTAATTACCAGGTTGGTTACGATAGGAAGAATGACCAGTAACAACACTACGGAAAACACTCAATACAACAGGGTCATCTGTAAATTTGTAAACAGAAAGAACATAATCAAGCCTTGAACCGAACCTTCTGTTGTCATACTGTCTTTTCCATTGTTGAAGAATCAAATGATAAGTGATGAAGAATTTGAAGGTAGACTTGAAGGTGACTTTTTTGTATCAAGCGCATTTTGTACTGTTAGTATTAATGATTGTTTGCGAACATAAGCAACCTCTTTACTAAAACCACAGTTGTGACTTTTCTGGCAACTTCTGACCAATCTGACTGATTATAAATGTTTGCAGGGAATCTAGAGAGTTTATATTATACATCATAACACAATCGAATCGAAATCCACTCAGCAACCACATACACATTCATTCAGTGGGCAATGAAACGCGCCAATTGTGTGAAGGATAATATACTACATGGCTATCGAAATCTCAGTAGGTGGGGCGGGGTTCCAACCCATGGAACGTCGGTTGGAAATCTAGTGTCGAGACTAATAAACCACATCTCCACAGTATATTCTCACAAAAATGTACTGTTGATTGAAACTAAACGATTATCCTCATTGGAGCAATCTTAAGTTCAAAGTTAGTCTTCATCTACCTTAAAAACATACCCATAGAAATGAGTTGAATCGACAAACAAATAAATCAAACTCAATTGAATGGTTGTCTGAATAGGATGATGAAAAGTTTGAAACAGAGTACATGAACCATCGAAAGACACCACAGAAATAAGATAGTCAATAGTCAAACAATATAAATGAAGAATGTATCAGTCGTGAAACACTTTGTAGTCTTACACTCAGTCTTCAATTCCCTGCTTTCGAAACATTTAGCTAGGGTATACAGCTATTCATACGATGTAATTTAATCTTTAGAAAATATGACGACTACACTCATTTTGACGCTGTGACCTGGCACAAGTTCACAATTATGGAGTACAAGTAGTCTATGTCAAAAAGAGAACACTTTTAGATACTAGATGCAATATAAGAGGGAATTCATTTGAATATTAAAATGTGAATTTTTGATCTTATCGAGGAACAGGATATGAGTTATTCAGTTTGCTTTCTTTACGTATTAATTTATGGGAAATACAGTTATTACAATTAACAGTAAGGGTAATACAGAAAAATAATAGTGAAAAACTAAGTAAACAATTAAAACAACAGTAATTATCAATGATTTTGCATATCTTTCAGTAGTTGGCCAATGTTCAATCCGAGATTGAGGGATAACCTACCTAATCTTAGCTCTTCAGCTTGCATATATCAACTTAACTGTTTCTGTGGAACAACTTACAAAGGACATACGATAACGTAGATGCATCTCCAGATACCAGAGTATTTACCAGCCTGGTTAGGCAACGATGAAGTGATAGTGGAAATTTCCGTCCTAGCTCACCTAGTAAACACAAGACATCACATAGATGCTGACAACGTTTTTGATATCATTCTTCATTGTATTCCAAATGCAATATCACGTGTACCTAGCCGACACCTATTCATGCCTAAAACTTATTTCTCCCTTGACCATCGGTAAACTAAAAGCCTACTTCTGCCTTCTTTATTCGTTATCTTTTTGTTCACTATCACATCGTTCATCCTTATGTGTCATCCTAATATTCACAAATTTAAAAAAGAAAACTCCATTTCGAAAATGTATCTACTTCTATCTTGGCTTGATTTTACGCTGCACAAATGTATTCTATAGTTGTAAAACTTAATGATAATTTATTGAAAAGAATATTCTTCGTTCAAACTACTGCTTTTTATGAATGCATATTTGTCTTAGAATTACATTTGTTCTCCGATCTTCATTTGAATCCAGTTTACTGGTAAAACGTCCATGATCAACTGACAAATTTTTAAGAACTTCAGGCTATTTTCACCTACATCACGAACCACAAGTCGTATTCACTATTGAACACTTACTGTTTTACACACAGAATCAAATCAATGCCAAACAGTCGCTAATCATGATTGTAATTGTCTATCATTGGCAATGTTACATACATAAAATGGGGGTGTTTAGCAACAGATTAAAGTGTAAAAAAAAATCTAATAATGATCGAACAGTAATTTGCAAAAAATATCAAGAACAAACGAACAGAGTGAATGACATGCGTTTTGTATGAAAATGCATACACATACAAGGAAACATAAAACGTTTTACTGATAATGATAAGCATATCACCCTGTAGTTAAGTACGATGATAATTGTAAGTAATGACCAAAACCTACCAGTGCGGCAGTGAAACCCTTAAGATGTCCAGAAAACAGGATTTATCTCAATATTCCGAAAAAGATGTGTTGAATATTGGTAGAAATCAATAAGTTTTATTCAAAAAAACCTATGGAAAATAAGTAACATCATACTAGGAAGAATTTAGGATAATACGAAGACCAGAAAATAGAAAAACTAGATGAAAAACTTAAAAAATGACAACGAATAACAATGGGGATAAGATGAGTGAATTTTTATTCCAAAAATGCTATGGAAAACATGTGAAAACTGACCGTAGTAGGGAAGGTTCATAATCACACCTTAAGACTTAAAAAGATCTAGAAAATCGAAATCAACAACCACTAAATAACCTCGTCAGTTCTATGACTGTCGAAACAGTCGAAGAAACACTGGTAAGTAGCCAAGTTACTTGTAAGTAAGGTTGGTTCTCAAGCAATAGTTAATACCTTGATTTTGTGATCCGGCTTGTATACCACTGTGATCCAATGAGCTGTGCTAGTGGTGGTGATGAATACATGTCTTCACCGATTTAATTAACTGAACGGATCATTCTGTATACACAACATTCAGGTACAGATGCTCTGACACTAACTCCAACAGTCTAGGACAACATTTAAGTAGTGTTCAGAGGAATAAAAATTCCAAATGAAACGAGATGTGAACCACTATAAAATCTCATCAGATACGTGGAATATTAAACTAAGTAAAAGTCAACGTTAATCTCAAATGACATGTCATCTCAAAAACATTTTCGCATACTCTAATCCCCTTTAGTAACTAATAGTATATGCCTAACAGAATCGAACACAGAACTATGGTTAGTGTGTACGCAGATTTGCCCTTTAACACGCAGCTTTACAGATGTGCAACCATATACATGTGCAGCTTAGTGTCAAATTCGGGAGTTATATATATATATATATATATATATATATATATATATATATATATATATATATATATATATATATATATATACATATATATATATATATATATATATATATATATATATATAGTACTGGACCTACGATATATGTAGTTTCCTGTTACTCTGAATCTTCATCTTAAACTATATGGTAAAATAGTATCTAATAGTACTAACTGCACCATGAAGACAGTCATTCACTACAGTATCTTGTATCATTCAATGTCATCCTATTTATTCCCCTCATGAGCATTTTAACTCTCGGTGAAGCAAATCTAAAGTTATACAATTTGATATACATCGTAAATTCTCGGTACCCTAATTAACTATTCGAAACACATTCAACGGACGACAGTTGGTCGAACTATGCACTACTCACAAGCAAAATTAAATGAGATGACGTTGCTCAAGATAGACAGAAAGACACGTCTAACCTAGAACTTTCAACTGATTTGCATTAGTTCAAGTTGCCATATTTCAGCGTGGCAGGTAAAGAGGAAGTGTGTAGAAATAAGATGATAGGATACATGAAATGAAGATAAATAAAATGTTTGAAATTTCGAGTAAGTGAATACAGATTTCTACCATTACAGATACTAGGTGATGACTGAAAGTGAAATGAAAATTTGGGCTGCGGCGGGATCCGAAACAGCGACCACCGAGTTTCCGGCCCCGACGCTCTACCAACTGAGCTATGAGGTCGGACTCCTGATCAGATTTTTATTTCACTTCAAACACCGTTATAATTGATTTCGAGTCTTCAACTATGGACTTCTACTGTCTCATGGACCCTGACAAGGCAAACAGTACATTCCTTCACGAGTTGGGGCAATAGTAAAAGATAGATGGATTAAAACTATGTCTTGATCTGAGTAGCTTAGGCTTTCTTCCAACCCAATCCTACTTTAGCTAACATTGCTTACTCAGGTGAATGATGGTATTACATTAGTGATAGATGATTCAGTCACCACAGTGTAGGGCTATGGGTCACTGATCTAGTTATTCGACTACAAGCCCGTGGGTTGCGGACTCGAACCCCGCTCCATTTACCGAGAATTGAGCAGCCAAGTAGTGCCCCCAGCCCTTACACAATAAATATGGTTCATTGGCTACTGTACAAACACGGTCACGGTTTATGAATTAGTTTTTTTCGAGCTTACTCCTGTACTTGGCTTCAACGGTCACATTCGTGATACTGGAAGTAGATCTAATTGACCACATGATGTTTTCTGCATCATTACAAGATTCTACATAAATGAATGTGATAAGAAATGTTCTTCAGTTGTACAGCGAAATCCTGACTCATACACAAGAATTGAGTTTATATCCCTAAGACCAGAATGGAAGAATAACCCTCTTCTTTTGTGAGTTCCAAGATGGATATTTTTCATGCAATAATAGCTGTATATGCAAAACGTTCTTGAAAAAAACATGGAGGGGAAACAAAGAAATGTTAATTGCAATGTCACCAATCGTAAAAATTACGGATCAATTAAACCCCTTCACTTTTTTACTTCGTGATTCAAGCTGTTTCGCTGATTCCAACTAAGGAACCGATATCTTTTATAATGGTTAGGGTCAAAAATAAAGGATTTCAAGAATTGGCGCCATGAATTGCCCTAGCCGACATTCTTTCTTTTACGATAAATAATCCTACTAGTACTACTGCTAACACTAACCTCAATCATACAGACACATGAATAACAGAAAAATAAAAACATTAACATTCAACAATGATAAAGACAGTAAAAATTGCTAGTGAATATGATTTTATATAGAGGATAAACAAAAGCCATGTATACTATGAGTATTAGATTCTACTAGCAGAAAAGATTCTGTTAAAACAAAATTTACAAAACAAAAGTAGGGATTTTTGTTAGCTGTTGAAAAAATCGATGAATGACTAGTTGAATAATTAGTAAAAACAAACGAAAGTCAAATATTATTATTCATTACATTGACTTACTTTCCTACAGTCGGCGTCAGTGTTAACAACCGATTCTGATTGAGTTTTAAAATAATTAACTTTTTCAAATCACCTTACAAAGATGAAAATAATAGAGGAAAAAACAAAGGAGAATATTATTACATCTATACTGGATACAGACTATTAGACAAAGCATAAATTGAGAATTTTAATACATGGCCACTTCGGAGACTAACAAACATGCGGTCTGCAATATACATCGTCGGTAATATTAGAATGATGTTCTACTTTTCGTTAACAAATAGATATACAATACAACCGTAAGCTGGATACTGTGGTACATAGGTGACAGAAATGTACAAGTAGAAGAAACAGTAGTAATCTTGCTAATAAATAACTGTTCACTCCTATATAACATACGTATTCAGTAGAAGCATCAAATATACTTTGCATTTAATGATTATTTTTCTCTTGGGTTCCTAGTGGAACATAAAGCTTCAGTAGCACGCCTCCATACCATTCTCTTCTCTGCAGTCTTTTCAATCTGGCGCCACGACTGCCCACAAGCTTTCATTTCTTCCTTACACCATCTCCTTCATATCAACCTCGTCTCAGACGTCCAACTCGTCGTTTCCCCTTTAGATTCCACTCGAGGGCCTGACGCGTGATGTCCCCAGTCGGCCTTCTCAGTGTATGCAAAACCCAATCCATCTCCACTTCCTTCTGCATATTTGTTGCGTGATGGGTTCTTGGTTGGTTCGTTCCCAGAGCTCCTTGTTGCTTATTCTTTCTGGCAATCCATCTGACCTTCAGTATCGAGCCAGCGTAGGCGGCAGCTGTTGATGAATGTCTGTAGTTTGTTGGAAATGTTTTTCGTGACACACCAAGTTTTTGAACCATATAGCAGCACTGAATTGACATTGGTATTGAAAATCCGGATCTTGTTCCACATGCTGAGTGCAGCAGATCTCCACAGTGATTTCAGAATAATGAAAGCCTGTCTTGCTTTTACGATCCTTGTTTTAACATCCTCGTCTGTGCCGCCGTCTGTGGTTGAAACGATGCTGCCTAGACAGGTGAAAGAGGCTACTTCCTTTAAAATTCTCCCGTTGATGGTGATTGGTCCTTGTTGTTGTTGTTGCTGGTCATGTTGGTTGGGTATCTTCATCACCTCTGTCTTCTTTACGTTCACCTGAAGTCCCGTCTTCCTTCGCTACCTCTTCTGTCAACTTGTTAGTTTTCGCCTGTAGATCTTCGAGTTTGTGCGACATTAGACATAAATCACCGACGAAATTCAAGTCATCTGGGGTCTTTTCATTGGTCAAGCAGCATATACCCATCTTCTCGCTCCTCATGGTTTGCTGCATGATCCAGTCTAGTTGACCACAATCAGGAAGATCATTGGTGATAGTAGGCGGCAGCCTTGTCTTACTCCTGACTTCACTTCACTGCAAAGGCGTCACTGAGCTTTCCATTGTGCGTCACTTGGTATGTGGCGTCGTCATATAGCTGTTGAATGAGGTTGGTGAAGATTTGTGGCACCCCGCGGTGTTGAAGCAACTGTCAAACTACTTGTGGGTCGACGCTGTCGAAGGCCTTCTCAAAGTCGATGAAGTAGAGAGTTGACTAACATTCTATACTCGGTTCAGTGATGATGCGTAGTGTTGCAATTTGATCCGCACACGATTTGTTCTTCCTAAATCTAGCCAGCCAGCGTGTTCCGGTCGTAATTTTGAATCCCTTCGAGTAGTTGGAAAATAAGCAGGTTGAGCAAATACCAGGTAAAGGATGAAGTGTCCGACTACACAGTTCTATACATATATGTCCAAATGTCGACATTAGTTACTTCTACCTTTTTAGAGCATAGTAAGGAGTCAGAGTGGTTAGAGAACCGTCACACTAGTAACGAATTTACTTACCAGACTCAAGATAAGTCGATGTAGAAAACTCTGGGAGTGAATACTAGTGGATAGAGGATAAATGTATATGGGTTAGTAAAAAGATGATGACACTGAATACTGAATAAGTCGGTTTCATTGTAATTGACTTTGAGCCCTATCAACCACAACTTTCGATCATCTCGAGGACCATAACAAGGAAGCCTACATATCCCAACTCCTTAGTAAACTATTCATCGATAGCACAACCAGGCTTGATTGTTTAGTAATGTGTTGTTTACTCGAAATCTGCTTATACTGGAAAGTGTCATTGGTGCTCCACTCAGATACAAAGAGCTTGAGTGGCTTTCGTTAACCTACGTTAATTAAGGCACCGCTGAGATATTCAACTACCTATCAAGAATCGAGTGTGCTGCACAACAGCTAGCTCTATCCCACACTATAGCTATGGGACATGATCATGAAAGGTGGGAGATATGAAAAAGCTTCGGGTACATGACAACTGTTCCCTTCACAGCATCAATGGCAGTCAGTGAAGCCCCATGTGATTAATGTGGAAGCTAGACGTACATTACCAATTCAAGAAGGTAAATCAGTTGATTTGTAAACTTTTGTCAACTGAACTGGAGTCGTCATCTATTTCAACATGCTGTTAGCTGAAATAGTTAGGCCCAAAAAGTGCAAAGCATGGTTTGAATAAAACATAGCATTAGCCCGTGAATTCTCGAGATCTTTATCTGAGCAATGTAGGGAAGTCTTTGTGGTAAGCAAAGTTGATAGTTGAGGACTCTAGATGGCATGACTCTATGTCATGTCTTCATCTTTACCGTTATATTACATCCCACTATCCGGCTTGAAGCCTCATTTCGTCTCATACCTTTCTATCGGTTGAATATATCACGATCATTTTTGTCTTTGGCTTTGATGATGACTTGTAACTTGATGTCAGGTGTGGAAACTATATCATCATGCAATAACTTCAATTCTGATACTAAATGTGAAGATATGACTCAGTATCGTCAACACTAAACTTACAGACAACGTGTACCGTGTCCAAACACTGCTTCACTTCCCTTGGTCTGGGTAGATGAGTAGTGCCACAAACAATAACAAAGTAATTGTGACACATTGCCCTAAAATCTAAACTTGTACTGGGCCAAATTACATTACTGATAGCTATTTACTACTCACTGAATTGTATTTTCAGATTTCATCTCTCTAGTGTAGATGACATTCAATATTACCAAGCCAATACGTTCTACCTGGTTTTATGTAAGCCTCTTTCACACAAAATCGTGGTTGTCATGGATCAAAGTATATATTTTTGCCACTTTTAATGCAGGTGAATAGATGAAGAAAAATACCGTAGAAAGTCACACCACAATGCATCAATTGATGGAGAGAGAATATAACTCAGGCACTTAGTGCACGTCTTCTGTCGTAGGCACAACTGCTTTGTGAAAGGTTCAACCCAGCTGCTAGACCGAAGTCGACGGAGTGGGATTTAAAATAGAAGAATATGAAAGAACAATACATATATCTAATTTTCACTTCGTAATATTATTACAACTCAATACAACTATGCAAACAACTGGACTTTTCCAATTTCTGAGTGAAAACAGAACTAAAATTCCACACACAATATGACCTCGTAAACAAATTAGTGTAAAACATCAATACTTTAAAGTTATTAGGTTGGTATTACTTGCTAAGAGATCAATGTGAACGGAAGTAGGTACAATTTTCGCACGCACTAATTCAATAATATATTATGTGACTGAGTCGTGAATCTTTATTTTTTTGTAATGTGTTAAATACATCTGTTCACTTCAAATGTCAAAACAAGTTATCAATTCTCCTTCATTAACACGTTTCTACTTTAACCTTTTATCTATAGGATTCGATGGGATATTTATATTGCACTCAGGTAGCAAAATTGTCTCCTTGAAGACAGGTATACATCTTCATGATAGGCATGGATAAATACTTCAAAACAACACCCTGCATATTTAAGTTCTGCGAATAAAACAGAAACAAATCACGAAAATAAGCTGAACAATAAAGGGTATTCTAAAGTAACCAATCAGAAGGAACACGTAAGACTTCACATCCCAGTAAAGCCAATTCAGACGAAACACTTATCGACATTGATACATTCTCTCAAAGGAAATCATGTCAGAGGATTATCTCCTTGACCCCGAAATGCACAAATACGATATCATACACACATGCTTTGAAGATCTATCGGTTAACTCTGCATGTGAAAATGCTTCATAAAAAGTGAGTGTGAAATAATAACGACCAAGAATGGTCGAAAATGTTGCGATCCTGGTGTAAAATGCGTGAACCTGCCCTGGATACTGAAATTCAACAACCAGATACATTTACTGTGAGTGCTAATAATACTAACTGGTTACGGAAACCTTGCTGCATGAAGTGAAGTTAAAAGATATCTGGGTAATTCAGCAATCAATATGCAGTCCGGAACTAGGTAATCATCCCAAGTTTTTCCCTTACGTTAATACTCCACGCCTATTGTGTGACGGTACTACTTGATTGGTTCAACCTCAGTAGGTGCAGCGAAACTTGAAACCGTGAACTGCTATTCAAAAGTCAGCTGCCAAGATAACTGAGCTACAGCTGCACAGTTACCGGATAAAAGCCAACAGTATGACGTGCCAAGAGAAAGCTTAATGTCTTACTCCAAGACTTAGGATTAAAATCTTTCACGGTAGATTATTCAGATAACCAGCTGCAACAGCTTGTACCTCTACAAATACTACATCATCATCATCATCATTCTACTACGTGATTCTTGCTGTACTACAAATACTACAGCAAGAATCACGTAATAGATCATCATCATCATCATTATCAACATAGGACCAGGCATTACTGCGTAACGGTCCGAGTTGCCACACCTCATATCAGCACATCAAGTAAAAAGGTAGTGAGGTGAAGGATGAAGATAAGTGAATGCAGTCAAAAGAAATATAAAGTACGAGAAGAAAGGAAAGAGGAGTGACAAAATAGTGAGATTCGGTATAGCGTTGTTAAGATGAGGATAATGTGTGTATACATCTGCGCCACTGACTTCGGTTCTGAGCCATATCACCTAGGGTCTCCAACCACTGGTTCCTCTTGTCCCGTGGACCCCAACCACCTAGTCTGCATCGTCCTACATGGCTTAAACCAACAGTCAGAGACTTCATAC